GCGGGGTCAGACAACACCTTGCAGGGGCCGGTTCTCTTTCTACCATGTGCAGTATGTGTCATTCCCCTTCCTACAGAAATAAACATAAAAATAATATAAAGAGAAATAAATAAAAAAATTAAGAACTGTTGTCCAAGGTCTAAATTCTGTCTAAAGTCTCTCTAAGGTTATTACAAAGTTTTTTCTCTTTTCTTTAGAGCTGAATCAATTTATGAAGAAATGAAACAGAAATATGGAACTCAGGGTTGTTATTTGCTTAAAATTAATTCTCGAGCACCGAATCGAGCATCAGATGAACAGATACCAGATCCTTGGAGTCAATATCTCCAGAAAAATAGTATTCAACACCAGGTACCTCTGAAAAACTGAATCAAACCACAAAAGTTGTATTTTAGTTTATGTCATAAAGATATGATTGTTGAGCCGGGCGGTGGTGGCGCACGCCTTTAATCCCAGCACTCGGGAGGCAGAGCCAGGCGGATCTCTGTGAGTTCGAGGCCAGCCTGGGCTACCAAGTGAGCTCCAGGAAAGGCGCAAAGCTACGCAGAGAAACCCTGTCTCGAAAAAAAACAAAAAAAAAAAAAAAAAGATATGATTGTTGATTTTTTTTTCTTTTATGTTTTGAGGGGCAGGTGGAGACAGGGTCTGACTCTGTATATATTACTGGCTTGGAACTTATTATATAGATTGGGCTAGCCTCAAACTCCCAGAGATCCACCTATCTCTGGCTGCAGAGTGCTAGGATTAAAGATGTGTGCCACTAAGCCTGGCTAGCGTTTTGTTTTCTTTTTCTTTGACATATAGTACAGGCAGGCTGTGATCTTGTTAGGTAGCCCAGGCTGTCTGTCCTGATTTCTTAATCCTCCTGCCTCAGCTTTTCAAGTGTTGACATTTTTGACATGCACTATCATGGGTCTAGAAGTTTTTATTTGTTAGTTTTGAAACTGAACACAGTGAGTTTGCAAAGCCAAAACAAGCACAGCCAAGACATACAAGACGGGGGGAAGGTGTCTGACATGCAACAGGCAAGGCAAACATCCAAAGCAGTGCCACCTTTGACCAAAGGAAGATGAGGATTTCATTCAGGGCCCATTCCTAAGCTTTTTCTGTTGTGTTCCTTTTATGCTCAGTTTGTGGTCATAATTTAAAGACTAGATAGATGCAGTGTTGGGCATGCTCAGCTCAGAGTCGTGGAGCACATATGGTTAACTGGTTAAAGCGACAGATAGAAATAGCTGGTCATGCTTAGCTTGCACCATAAAGTTTTAGCTGAAAATAAAGGAGAGGGTACTTAGAAGGCACATTAACATAAGTACCTGCACCCAAAGGACCTGCCTTGGCTTAGTGGCTAACTAATACAATACTAGCATGACTAGTTTGATCCATCAGCTGTGAGCTCTTAAATAAAGTGGTTCAAAAGCTGTTTTTTTAATCAGCTACAGCACATTGAGGTATAAATGATAGCATTAGGTTGTTTTTGAAAAGTGAATTACATTCTGTATCAATTACTTTCTGTTCCTGTGATAATAAACACTATGAAGAGAAAGGGTTTACTTTACCTCACAAGACCTGAGAAGTGTTGTCCATCATGGTGGGGAAGGTTTGGAAGCAGGGGGTCTGAGGCTGGCCTGGCAGTCAGAAAGCAGAGAAATTACTTTTCATCTACATACAGGAAGCAGAGCAATCAGGAAGTAGTTCAAGGCTATAAATCCTTGAGAGCTGCCACAAGTGTTATTTTTTCTCCAGCAAGCCTCAAACTTAGCACCTCCAGCTGGGAACCAAGTGTCCTAATACATGAACCAATGGGGGACATTTCTTATTCAAACCACAGCATGTACTAAGAGTTAGTTAGATTGTTTATCCATGTAGAGATAGACATTTGGATTTGTCTATTTAATTAACCAAGAATGTACTCAGCCCCACCCCACACCCCCATATTAACTAAGGCGGCTCATAGTCTGCTCTTTATTAGCCTGGGCTGGGGCTGCCTTCTTCCTACGGTTCTACTGTGCTGTGTTTTGGCCACTTTGGAGCGCATACGACCTAGGTGTGTATGTGTGGTTGCTCCTGCTATTTGGTCTTCAGTTCTTGAATTTTTGAAGTGTTATTTCTTCCTTTCTTGTTATTTTCTTAGACTTCTAAGCTAATTTGTTGGTTGAAGTGCATAGTTGTAAAGTTTATTTCTTTCACAATGTTTACGTAACATTGTGTGCTACTTGGTAGAGCCAATACCAAGTTCTTTTGTTTATTTGGTTAGTAGAGATTTGACTTTTTTTAAAAGGATTTTTCAAATAAATGAAAAATATATTTTGAGATATTTAAAAATCACTTTAAAAGTTTATGTAATTATTGCTCTAATAGAAATGTTGGTTAACATTTTATTTTTCTTATTTTTCTGTCATGTAGAATTTTTGATCTAGACATAGTGTCTAATATTTTACCATTTATTTATTTATTTATTATTTATTTATTTATTTATTTATTTATTTATTTATTTATTTATTTCTGTGTAACTTTGGAGCCTTTTTTTTACGTTTTATAAAATCTTTATTGACAAATAATTCACATAGTATACAATTTGCCTGTTTGCACAATTTGATAGACTTTAGTCCAGCATCCTCATAGACCCATGACACCATTACCACTTTCTATTTTAGAACATCGCTGTCTTCAATTTCATACACACATACAATGTATGATGATTACATTCCACCTTATTTTTTTAAATGAACATAATATTTGCAGTTGTAACCATTTTTAAGTTCACAATTCAGTGGCATGAATTATATTCAAAATATTAATTACACTCATGATATTCATTAATCACACTCATGATATTAATTACATTTGTAGTATTCATTGATTACATTCACAGTATTTATTCAATAACTATGATATTCATTAATTATATTAATTGTATTGATTTATTACATTATAAATTTATTACATTATTACAGTCCTGATACTACTGTCCATTTGTGGGGCTTTTTGATCACACAAAACAGAAACTCTGTACTTAGGAAATCTTTGCTCTATATTCCTTTCTTCTCCATCTTGAGATAACATCTAATCTTTCTGTCTCTATGAATTTGTATGTTCAATATATTTCATGTAATACAATTCTATGGTATTTGTTCCTTTTTTTAATGTAAAAACATTTTATGTACAATTGCAGGAGAAATAATACACAGCTTGAACATAAAAACAGATTATAATTCAAGAATCCAGGGTTATTTGAAACTGGAAAATATTTTCTTTGTAGAAAATAGTAAAAATGATAACATTTCACATTAAGCCCTTTTAAGCCAAATAATAGTTGAATTATACATATAAATACTGATTAGATTCTGGGATACAGAAGAAACCTATCTTCATCTGTTCAGAGAGCTATGTTTTACTTGAGTTGTGTAAGTGAGATTCCTATTCATCTTCCCCTTCACTATTTGATTTATAGCAGACATTTTTCTATAGGCTAATCCATAATCTAAAAAGATTTTAGCCTCCCCTCCTGAGAGTACAGCCCGCATATTCTTTCATCAGCTTGATATGGTATAAATTCTTATCCTAATAGTGAAATGTTTCACTAAAGCTTCCCAAGTGACTGGGCAAAACCAAAACGTATTATAAGCCACAGTTATGCTTACTCATTTATTTTTAAGATTTATTGATGTATTGATTTAGTATACACGTGAATGCCTGTAGTATACACGTGAATCTGGAACTGCAGCTACAGATGGTTAAGAACCACTTGATGTGGGTTGGTAACTGGGTCATCTGTAAGAGCAGTAAGTGCTCTTAAACAGTGAGCCATTTCTGCAGCCTGTTTCACTCATTTTAATATTGGAATGTTGAGGGGAAGTCTTTAGACATAAAAGAGCCCAAACCGGCTGGATATAAAACAGCTTTTTTTTTTTTAATGCCCCCCGCCCCCCCTTGGGACCATCCTCAAAATAAAGGTAGTACTGAAAAATTCAGTTCACAGTTAGGCTGTCTAAGGGTGTAAAGGGAATGCCAGTCTGATTGTTCAGTTTGAGAACTTTTAGCAGAAAACAGAGGTATCAGAGAGTATGTAATTTAGAATCTTAGAAGGCCAGAGTGTGAGAATCATTAAAGGTACTACCTGACTCCTAAAGTAATGTTTTCACCTTTTGAAAACATGTTTCCTTAAGTGAGAAGCAGCTTGAGGACCAACTGCAGATGCTTTCTATGGCTTGTGCACATAGGCTGTTTAGGGGGGTCATGTTAGTATCCTCAGAAGGATAACTATATCCTTTTATATTACTCCAGGCTAGTTATACCTGCTTTCTGAAGTCTGTCTGGAGGGGTGGTTTTCAGAGAGTTTCCTACCTGGCTCTGTCTGTTGCTATTAAGTTCTGGCACTCAGAATAATAATAGCTCATTTTTCTTGGTCTCATGGAGTAATGTAGGGTTCAGGGATGGCCCGAGATCCAGTGCCTTACTAGAATGGAACACTGTGTTGGGTATTTCTCACAGCCCTTCGGTCTATTCAGAATCCACTCCTGCTAGCGTTTTGTCTATGACCTGGGAGATTTTGAAGTTGTTCTTTTTTCCCTCTTGTCTGACTCTGGTAGGCTTTACTTTGTCATTATTTTTTTAGGATTCATGGGCATATGTATGTGCCTGTTTAAATATATGTGGGCATGAATATTGAAGTGCATTTGAGATACTGGTCATTTGAATGTGAAAGAATTAGCATAGTTAGTTGAGTATGAAAAGGAATTAAAATACAATGTTATGGATCATCATGACAATACGATATGCTGAGATTAGAGGGCCAAAAGAGAAGAGTATTCCTTTAGCAAGTACATGAAGCCATATTCATCAGGAGAATTATAAGCATTGGTGTATTTGGTAATATTTAAACACGATTAATTAATTATATTGCTAATGCTTTTGTATTTTATTTTGCTAGGAATCATATGAAGATGGCCCTTGTACTTTGACCTCCAATAAGAATTCTGATAGTAACTTGCTCTCATTGGATGGACTAGATAACGAAGTCAAAGGTCTTGTTATACTTTAAGTTCTCTTTTGACTGGAAGTATTTATTGTTATTAAAGCACTCTAGCCTTCACAGATAAATGATAGGGAAACTTTAACCACTAACCCCTTTCAGTACTGGTAATTGAGTTTAGGGCTTTGCAGATGCTAGTTCATTCCCCAGCCCCTTTTCTTTAAAAAAAATTTTTTTAAAGATTTATTTTTAATTATGTATATGTGTGTTTATGTGTGGGGATGTTTCTGTGAATGCTGGTGCTGGAGGAGATCATAGGCATGAGATCACCCAGAGCTGGGGTTACATACAGGTGGTTATAAGCTGCCTGATGTGGGTTCTGGGAACTGAACTCAGGTCCTCTGCAAGAACAGTAAATACCAAGACATTTTTCTAGCCCACCCCTCCTTTTTAAAATTTTAAGACTAGATCTTGACTAAGTTATTGACTGTGCTTTAAATTTGGTTTTTCTTATCCCAGCTTTCTAAGTAGCTCGGATTTACCGTATCTCTCTGTATAGCTTAAGTTGTCCTTGAACTTAGAATTTTCTCTCTACCTCTGAGTACTGAGAGGTAGACATGTGCCAGCACACTTGACTCAGAAGTTAATGTTTCTTCTGGTTTTATGCAGTTCTTTGAATTCTGGTTTTTGTTGTTTACATTTAAATTTATGTTCTAAGAATAGTGGATCATGAGGGCTAGAGAGAGGGCTCAGTGGTTATTGATCTTCCAGAGGACCCTGAGTTAGATCTCAGTACCCATGCCAGACCACTCACAGCTGCCTCCGGCTCTAGGGGAACCTAACACCCTCTGTGGGCCTCCGTGAGCTTCAGTGTACAAACAAATAAACGAGAAAATCTTAAAATGGTCATGCCTGGGTCAATCAAAATATTTTTAAAAGCCAGGGAAATGTAATATACAACATAATTCCCCAAATTCATAAGATTTTTAGAACTATATTACTATATTTTTTTAAATTATAGTTTTGGTAATGATGGCTCTAAATTTTTGTTTGTTTGTTTGTTATATTGATCTTACTGTGTGGGCAAAAGTGGCCTGGAACTTAACTGTCTGCTTGGGATCCATTTCTCAGATTTCCAACTGCTGGAATTATAGACATGTGCCACCATGTGCAGTTGTTGTAATATAAGATAGCCTGTTTATAAACAGGACTCTCCCTGCTTCGGGGGCTATTACTTTGTATCTCAATAGAACCTTGCTTGCTCTCCAAAAATAGGGTAATTCACTGTAGTATTTTAAAACTGAGTTGCCTAGATTCTTAAGCTTGTATGCAGGCAGCAATTATTAGCTCAAGTACCTTAATTTAATTCAAGTTTTTTATTGCATTCATTTACATATGCTTGCATGCGTGTGTGTTTCTGCATGCGGGTGCAGTGTCATATATGTGGAGGTCAGTGAACGACCTATAGGGAGTCTGTTCTTTCTGTTCATGTGTGGATTTCAGGAATCATACTCAGTTGTTAGGCAGTCTTCCCTGAACTGTCTCTCCAGCTCAAGTCTTTAATTTAAAATGGGAAAATGTTAACAGTATTTCATCTCAGATACACACAGTGAGAAAGGATTTGTCATCTTTTCCTTTAATGACATGATAGTTTTGTTACGTTTTCTGTTGCATTCTGAGAGTAAAGGAGAGATTTGTTTTTCAGTAGATGGTTTACCAAATAACTTCCGAGTTCATCCACTTCAATTAGACCAATGTGGTGACCCTCCTAATACCGATGGCTCAGATCATACAAAGTTTGCTTCAGTACACGAAACAAAGAAAGCAAGTACTGGAGTGATTCGTGGTGCTTGTTTGACACTCACTGATCATGATAGAATTCGACAGTTTATACAAGAGTTTACATTCCGTGGCCTTTTACCACATATAGAGAAAACAATTCGGCAATTAAATGATCAGGTAAGACTTAAGTTTTTTGGGTTATTAATCTTCAAATTAAGTCAGTGAGTTTAAGGCTTTATTAAAAGTTTTGTATTTAAAGTTTTGTTTTGATTTTTGTTTTATAATAAGCTGTAAAAACTGACTGAAGTTACTATCAGTGATGAAGTTCTGTTTAGTACTAGATAAGCCTTATTTATTTTCACTTAGAATTTTTTCCAGTTTATTGGACAAATTATTTTTTTAAGACTCATTTATCAATTCTAATTTTATGTGTATGAATGTTTTGCCTGCATGTATGTATGTATACAATTTCATATATGGTGGTCACAGAGGATGTAAGAGGGCATTGGATGCTCTGGAACTGGAGTAACGGGTAGTTGTGAGCCACCATGTGGGTGCAGGGAACTGAACTTGCGTTCTTTGCAAGAGCAGCAAATGCTATTATCTACCAAGCCAGCTCTACAGCCTATATATTAGACATTAAAACAAATCAACAGCTGTTTTCAGTTTTATTTTATGGGTATGTGTGTTTTGCTTGTACATCTGTATGTACATCATATGTGTGCCTGGTCCCTGCAGAGGCCAGAGGGGACTTGGATTTCCCAGAACTGGAGTTACAGTTGGTTGTGAGCCACTGTGTCGGTCCTGAGAGCTGAAGACAAGTCCTCTACAAGAAAAACAATCTGCTGAGCCATTTCTGCAGACCCTAGACATTTTTTGAATTAGTGTTATTAAAATATTTACTTACTAGTAAAGCTTAATTTTTTTGTTTGTAGAAAATACTCTAAGTGTTCATATTTGTTAACATATTTACATATTTTTTTCTAGCTAATATCAAGGAAAGGTTTGAGTCGATCTCTGTTTTCTGCCACTAAGAAATGGTTTAGTGGCAGTAAAGTTCCAGAAAAGAGCATTAACGAACTGAAAAATACATCTGGGTTGTTGTGAGTAGAATGCCACTCTATTAATTCTGCTGCCTTTAACTTTGTCTTGCGTTTGACTACAAAAACAGTGATTGTCTTTTTAGGTTCTTATTTTCATATTGGTCAAAACTTAATGATATCTAAAAAAGATACTAATTAAATCTAATTTAAAAAACAACTCTAATTGAACTTTTAAAAAAATTTATTTTTATGTGCATTGGAGTTTTGCCTACATGTATGTCTGTGTGAGGGTGTCAGGTCCCCTCGAACTGGAGTTACGGACAGCTGTGAACTGCCATGTGGGTGCTAGAAATTGAACCTGGGTCCCCTGGAAGAGCAGTCAGTGCTCTTAACCGCTGAACCAGCTTTCTAGACCCTGTAATTGGACTTTTAAATCAAGGTTTTTTTTTTTTTTGAGATGGAGTCTGACTGAGCCTAGGCTAGCTTGGGACTTGTAATAATCCTATTTTTGTTTCCCAAGCACTGGGGTTACAGATGTGAACTGCTTTTACCATGGCTGGCTTATTGGACTTTGGGAAAAAACTCTTCAGCCAAAAATACCACTGGCTCTTTTAGTTGCTCATTAGAACTAAGACTCTATTGCTGAAAACTCCGTGTAATTTAATTACAGAACACTGAGAAAGTAAACTGGATCTAACCAGGACATTTTCTTCCTGGTGGTTGGTTAGCTTTCATAATGCTCGAAGGTGATATATAGACTACTGGGGAAAAATTCATCAGCGACCTTAGCAAAGGACGCTGGATGTCACAGTACCCACCTGCTAGGCCATATGTGCCCACTGATCCAATAGTGGCATGAGTGTTAGGGGGGTAACCAATTGTTTTTAGGTTGGATTTGACCTGCATTAGGAGTGAATTCATGGTTGATACTGTAGATCAGTCAGCATCCTGTGGCTAGAGTGATGATAAGCAAAACCAAACAAAACTCTTAAAATAACTCAGAATGTCATTTTACTTTGGACCTGCTCCTCTATTTGTAAGAAGATGGGAGTTAGATTTGGTACTCAGTACTAGCTAGCCCTTTTTGTCTGAAGTGCTTTGGTCTATACTTTTTTAAAGGTGAGTTGCCCCATTCAGCCTTCAGCTTGGAGCTCTTCTGCTTCAGGCTCCCTCGTGTTGGTGCGTCACCATGCTGGGCTCCTCTGCCTGCTGTCCTAAGACAAGGAATATACTTAGCAAATTTTGTTTCTTACAAAGTCTTGTTTTAATGAAAAATGACAGGAGTCTATTTGGATTTTTTTTTCTGAGTTGTATATAAATAAGTTACTTGGTATTAACCATTTATTCATAAATTGTTCCTGGGGCAAATGCTTGTCTGCAGTTGGGAAACTTCCAAGACTATAAATTAAACATATTAATTAATTAACTTTTGGACTTTCAAATAGTTTTGAGAATTGACAGTCTTCCTTGAAGATAGAATTTTTCTAAAATAGATCAAATTCTTTTATGTTCTGCGTAGTTGAACAGCTTACTATACATTTTATGTGTGATGGGCCATAAATTCTATATTTATGTTCTAGGTATCCACCAGAAGCACCTGAGCTTCAAATCAGGAAAATGGCTGACTTGTGCTTTTTGGTGCAGCATTACGATTTGGCTTACAGTTGCTATCATACTGCAAAGAAGGATTTCCTTAATGATCAAGCAATGCTTTATGCAGCTGGAGCCTTGGTTGGTACTGTTTGTTTGTTTTGTACTGTTGAGTATCAAGCCAGGGCCTCGAATGGCCTAGGTAATGGTCTGTGACTTGCTGAGCTCTATCCCCACGCCTGTGATACATTTTAGAAAATGAAAATTGATTGTCAACATTTTGTGCATATGGACTTCCTATCCAGAGAAGTGCCTCCCTTCCCTTTCTTCCCCTTCTGGGCTCAAGACAGTTTTCACTTCCTCTTTCATCCTCATGTCAGGAGTTCCTCTTTATCTCAATCCCACCAGGAGGAAATGTACGATATTTAGATTGTATCCTCCTGCCATGTTAAGCTGCCCAACAAGCTATATAGGTCACCTTCCTGTGTTACCAGTTCATGGTTTTGTTTGTGCTTTGATTATGCAGATGAATAGGCTTCAAGAGGACTGTTCCAAATCTGTTCCTCTTAGGTTTATTACTTTTACAATAGCTTTTATAAACTATAGGTATTTTTAATTATGAATGTATAATGTTAAAATAAATACACCTTAATATCCAGCACTTATAAACTCATCTTTCATATAGCTGTTACCTTTCCTTAAATAGTTTAAATGTAATATTTATCAAATGTAGATAAAAATAGGAAAATTGTACAGCCATATAGCACATTTTGTGTGTGTGTGTGTGTGTGTGTGTGTGTGTGTGTGTGTGTGTGTGAGAACAGACTGAATATATGGTGGTGTTCTTATAAAATTATTGCTTAAAACATTCTTACCTACAAATGGCATAATCATTTTGGTTTCTATAAATATATTCTGGTGTCTGCACAACAAAATCACCTCAACGAATTTTTCAGGATTCACCTTTCTTATGGATGTGTCAGGATATACCTTTAAATCATGCATAACTCTGTTTTTTTTTTTTGTTTGTTGTTGTTTTGTTTTTAAGATAGGGTCTCTGTTTACCTGCCTAGCTTAGAACATACTGTGTAGACCAGGCTAGCCTCGGACTTAACAGAGATCAGCCTGCCTCTGCCTCCCAAAGGCTGGGATTAAAGATGTGGGCCATCACACCCCACAAAGACCAGAATTTTAAGTTAAAACAAATAATGTGTGTTTTGAGTCTGCATTAAACTGTGAAATTTATACATGTATACTCTGAGGCCTTCAGTCTTTAAGTTTACTGCGTGTTAAATATGAGAATGGTTCTCCTGAAACACTGTCTGTTTGTTTCCTTTAGGAGATGGCAGCAGTGTCAGCCTTTCTCCAGCCAGGAGCTCCGAGGCCATACCCTGCCCATTACATGGACACAGCCATTCAGACCTACAGGGACATCTGCAAGTAGGTGACCATAATATTGATAGTTTTGCCTGTTTGGGACAGAGTTGATATTTACAAGTAGTTCTTTGTTTTTCATGCCATAGATTCTCAACTGAAGTTAATTTAGTCAGAGACAAGTTGAAATGAAAATTGTGCTTATTCCCTTCTCTTTTCAGATCCTAGCTACACTGCATTGGTGGATAGCAAGTTGATGTGTGTAGCATTGAGGTTTTGTGCTACACTGCAGATAATTTTTGTTGTAGACATTTTTGATTTTACCTACCATTAAGATGGAAATTAGCCATTTTGAACTTTTCTTGTTAATTAGGCAGAAGCGTGAAGAGTTGAGTAATATAGACTTAGGGAAAAATGACAAGTAGTGAGTACTAGTAGAATTCTAAGGAAACTGAACTGGGTCAGAAGTCATCAGAAGGAGGCTGTTAGGTTATCTGATAGGTAGACTTTCATGCAGGGTGGCTAGGTTTTGTAGCCATAGGGACATTTCTAGAATTATGAGTTATAGGAATAAAATTTCTCTAGTTTTGCTGGTAAAGGTCAGTTTGTGTATATGGAAAGCATTGGGGGATAGAGAGAAAGGGTTGGAAATAAATCGATGTTAGAAGCCTTAACTGTCATTTATTTTTCCTAAGCTGGAATTAAGGTTTATGCTGTAGTAAATGAAAATTACTGCATATTTGAGTAGACATTCATCATTATAAAAGCTATTTTTTAGTAAATTAATCAGATTTTTTTTTTAATGGTGCTAGATTGAACTCAGAGCTTTGTCCACTGAGTTACATGCCTGATGTTTGTGTTGTAGAATAGATGCCTTGGAAGACAGAGATAGAGAATCAATTGAAGCCCTCTTGTTTATGTAGAGGTAATAGTAATAGCAATGCTTACAATGGAACAGCATTCATAGGCTGGCAAGATACCAGTGGGTAAAGATCATTGCTGCCAAGCCTGACAACTTGAGCTGATCCCCGGGACCCACGTGATATAAGGAGAGAATTGACTCCCAAAAGTTGTCCTGACTTGCACATGAATGTTATAATAACAAGCGCATTTGTACTCCCCCACATGCGCATACACACAAGTAATTATAAAATATAATACAAATAAAAATGTAATAATGTATTTAAAAATTTAACAATTTATAGAATTTAAGAACTGAGCCTTATATGAGTAGTGAACATTAGGAGTTTATACTTTTGTGTTCATTAAGGCAAACTTAGGTATTGTTTTGGGAATACCTGTTGCAAATGTAATCTATGGAAAGTGTGATAGATCATCAAAGCATTTGTTTGTTTTGTGGGGTATGAGTCTTATGTATTCCAGGCTGGCTTCTACTTGCTATATGGCCAAGGGTGGTCTTAAATTCCTGATCCTCTGTCTCCACTTCTGGAGTGCTAGGATCACTTGTGTAAGCTATGGGACCTGCTATTACTTTTTCTTTTGAAAGACAAGGTCTCGCTATGTAGCCCAAGCTAGCCTGGAACTCACCATGCAGACCAAGCTGGTCTCCTACTCACAGAGATTCACCTGTCTCTGCCTTCCACATTCTGGGATTAAAGGCATGTAATATCATGTTTAGCCAACAATATGTTTTGAGTGTAATAACCACTCCTAAACTTTTTTTATGTGTGTGTAAGTGTTGGGTATGGGCATTCCATGGCATGTTTATGGAGGCCAAGGACAACTTGATGGGAGTCTGTTCGCTCCTCTGTATGTGGGCCACTGGAATCAAACTTAGGTCATTAGACTTGGTTGCAAATACCTTTACCCACTTGGTTATCTCACTGCCCCACTCCCCTTTTTCTTAAATTACTTTATTACAGTTGATTTTTTAAAAACATTTCCTTTGCTACAATACAGAGGATACTGACAAAGTATTACATATAACTTGTTTTCACTTTTATGTTCTGAGAACTTGGTAATAGCTTTAAATGTATAATCTATACAATTAATACAGGTTATATATGAACTAGAAGGTATGCTGAACCAGAAGAATGCTGAGAATACTGTATAGTAAGCCTTACCAGTTAGTGCTGTGAACCATTTTACCGAAAGGAAAATGCACATCTGTAGTCACCTTTATCCCCTTCTTTGAGACAAAGTCTCATAATATAGCACCAGATAATCTTGAATTCACCAGCATTCTCCTGTCTCAGCCTCCCAAGTGCTAGGATTGTAGGTATGTACAACTGTATTCAGCCTTGCATCGTGTTCTTACTTTGGAATTGTGTGATGAGAAAAGGTGCTGGGCTGGGGCTGTAGCATATCATTTGCCAGGCCCCCAGTGTGACCCCAGCACTTCCAAAGGAATAAAGATTGCTTTTTTTTTTTTTTTTCCCCTTTTTAGTAGGTAGAAAATGACAGACTTTTTTTCTTAAATCTTGATCCTTTTATTAGAATTTGAGAACAATAACAGCAGGGGAGTCAGACTGGAAACTACTGGAAGGAGACATTTGAGTTAGGGTACAAGAGAGCAGGCAAGTTCAACTGTGGAGATTGACAAGCAGCTGTGTGGCTGTGTGGCTGTGTGGCCGGGTGGGCATAAGATGGGTTCTTAGAGAATGTGAGTTCAGAGCAAGCATGCTAGGACTCTGGCATGTCCCCAAAGGGGCCAGAAAGAGGGAAAGGGAGCAGGCTTAGCCGTGAAGCTCTGCAAGCAAGGCCAGGACAGACTTCTTGCTCAGAGTCAGCTAGTGACTCTTTGAATACATGGTAACTTGGATGTGCTAAAGAATTACTGTGATGCTGATTATTTTTCCTTGTCTGTTTTTGTTTAGGAATATGGTGTTGGCTGAAAGATGTGTGTTGCTTAGTGCCGAAATTTTAAAAAGTCAAAGCAAATACTCAGAGGCTGCAGCCCTTCTAATACGGTTGACAAGTGAGGTACTGGACTTTGGTGTTTGATTTCATTAGTGTGTAAAGAGGTGCTGTATAAAACAAAGTAGGAGGGGCTTGCTTTTTCAGGATTAAAACACCACTAGCTACTCATTAACTTCATTTTAAGATTTTTTGTTTGTTTTGTTTTGTAGTGGGGACAGCTTGAGACAGTTTTTGTAGTCCATAATGGCCTTAAATTTCTAGCAATTTCCCTGCCTGAGCCACTGAGTGCTGGGATTTCAGTCATGAATACCATACTCTGCTAGTATATCTTTTATAATTTGAACTTATTTATTGAAAATTATGTTTTTAAATTTATTTACTTTATATTTTATCGGGGACTATGGGGGTCCAGCCCCTCGATAGTCCCCTCCCAGGGTCCGGGAAGAATCTACAACCAGCTGGTAATTAATCTTTAATGGGAAGAAATGAATCTATGTACACGAAACTCCTTAGTTCATACACTTTATTATTCTGTGATAGTTCTCATGTCTAGCTCCTTTCTTGCCTGATTTCTCTGCATTTATCTACTGTTCCCTCTAGGTTCTATCTTAATTCCTTCATCTAGTTCTGTCCCTTCTAGGTTCTCATCTATCTAGTTCTTTCCCCTATCAGCTCCTCTCCTGTCTCCTTCTCTCTCATCTGGCTCTTCCTCATCTTGTTCTTCCCCATCTGGCTCTTCCTCATCTTCCATCTCGTTCCTCTAGTCCTCTCTTTTAGCCCTTCAATCTAGTTCTTCCCCATCTCAGTTCGTTCCTCTCAAGTTCTTACCCATCTAGTTCTTCCATTCTCTTCTCTCTTCTCTCTGCCTCCTGGAAGTCTCGGTATATAAAGGGAGGGTCTGAGCTAAATTGTGTAAAGCTATTAACGTCCACCTCTCCTAGGCGGTGTCTCCTTGTGGAATTTACCGTAAGTCAGGAGACTTGCATGTGGGCTGTTATCATTGTTAGTCCACCTGGGACTAACAATGGGCGCCCACCTGGGTGGTGTTTCCTGTAGTCCTTGAAAGTGGCCAAGGGAGATAATCTGATTCCAGAGAAAGCCTTTCCTGAGGCTGTTCTCCAAATACCTGGAATGTGTATGTCCAGAGAGTGATCAGTCTACACTGTTAGTCCTTCTTAGGGAAAAGTCAATTGGGAAAACTATGAAGGCACACATGATTTTCATAACAGAACACAGCTGATATATAACAAGCCAAGTAACACCAAAAACTCCTTGGAATTTGGCTTCCTCTGGAGGAATTCCCTGATCCCTCCAGGTAGTGACTTTGCCATAACCAGCTGAGTTCTTATGATATATTCCTGCGGCCCGCAGCAATATTTATGAGTGTACTTATGTTATGTGCCTCATATGTGTGCCTGGTGCTACAGAGGTCAGAAGAAGGTGTTAGATCCCCTGGAACTGGAGTTAACTGATAGTTGTGACCCTCTATGTGGGTGCTGGAAACTGAAACTGGTTCTTTACAAGAGCTGCCAGTGCTCTTAACTACTGAGTCATCTTTACAGCCCTAATTGAATTAATTTTGTTTCTGTAGTCTCAGTCTACCTTTCATTACAAACTAACCACAACCATTGTGGCATCTTATTTGATGTAAGTTCTATGCTATGTACAACTAAGACATGCATGTGTCTCAATCTGGTATAAAACTAGTACTAAGAAAATCACTGAGGAATGTTGAATCTCAGTTTTTACTTGTATGACCATTTAAAGAAAAATCATTAAGCTTTAAACATGCATCCAAAGTAGATAAATTTAAAAGATGGCAGGCCATACTAGTCTACTTTGGATGCATCCAAAGCATCTTAGATGAATATATCAATAAATTTAAAACCTTTTACCCAATACTTTTTTAAAAAAGATTATTTATTTATTATATATACAGTGTTCTGCCTGCATTTATGCCTGCAGGCCAGAAGAGGGCACTAGAACTCACCATAGATGGTTGTGAGCCACCATGTGGTTGATGGGAATTGAACTCAGGATCTCTGGAAGAGTAGCCAGTGCTCTTCACCTCTGAGTCATCTCTAGCCCATTACCCACTACTTTTGTGACACGCAGTCAGCAGCCATCTCTCCTTGCTCAGGAAGAAGGGGCTTGCAGAGCTTGAGGTCCTTCTCTTCATCCATCCTGTCAGAGGGTGACTGGCTGTTGTTGGTGGGCTGCGTATAATTCTTATCCTCTGAATATTCTTTCATTCATATCCCAAAGGTCCCTCTGAATGCCTACCAGTTTCTTTTTAATTTACGATTACTGCTACTGTGTATGCGTGCGTGCGTGCGTGCGTGCGTGCGTGCGTGGTGGCATGAATTCCCTGGCACAGAGGCAGAGGTCAGAGTAGTTTGTGGAGTCAGTTCTCTCCTCTCCTTTGAGTTTGATGGATCCAACTTAGGTGGCCAGGCTTGTGGCACGTGCCTCTACCTGCTGAGCCATTGCACTCGGCCCTCTGCCTTCTTGGTTACGTCACTACTCTTCCTGCTTTGGCTCTCTGTCTGTTGCTTCACATAAGTTGCTGGCCATGTCTTTCAGATTCTAGTTCCCCACCTTGCTCTAAATGTTTCCTTTCTACTCCCTCATAGACAATAAAGGTTGGCATCATATTATACTAGAAATTGTGTTTAATCTGTTACCTACTTGAGGTTAGCCTTCTACCCTCTTTTTTTTTTTTTCCAAATAAGTCAGTTGTGGTTTGTATTCCAAGCAGATCTGAGCTATCTCACTCTACAGTCCATGCTGTCCTTGAACTCATTCCTCTCTCTCTCTCTCTCTCTCTCTCTCTCTCTCTCTCTCTCTGTATGTGGTGTGGTAATTAATGTTCATGTGAGTACAGTGACCCCAGAGGCCAGAAGGAGATTTCAGATCCCCTGGAAATGGTACAGGCAACTCAGCTGCCTGATGTGGATGCTGGGAATCAAACTCAGGTCCTCTGCAAAACCGTCCTCTTCCATGCTTTTAACTACGGAGCCATCTCGCCAACCCATCTTTTACATTTTTATTCCTAATGCCTTACACTGAAGTTTGAGCCAAATAAATGCCTTGAAAAAAATTTCTCTGAGGTATATTAGTGTCACGTGTGATATTTAAAGTGTTTAGTAATTGGTATATGTGATACACTGACCAATAAGCATGAACTGGTGTGTCTTAGTTACTGTTGTATTGCTGTGAAGAGACACTGTGACCAAAGCAACTCTTATAAAGGAAAGCGTTTAACTGGGGCTTGCTTACGGTTTCAGAGGTTTAGTTGGTCCATTATCATGGCAGGGAGCATGGCAGCATGCAGGCAGGGGCTGGAGCAATAGCTGAGAGCTACATCCCAGAAAGAAATTCTCGGCCTCCTGTGACCTTTTTGAAGCCTCCATGCCCCTCCCACCCCCAGCCCAAACCTCCAACAGTGTTGCACCTCCTAACCCTCCTAATCCTTCTTGAGTAGTGCCACCCCTGGTGACTTAAGCATTCAGTACAGGAGCCTATGGTGGCTGTTCTTATTTAAACCACCACTCTGGGTCAGACATGAGCTGTTTGGTAGTGTTCAGACTATTTTAGTAGCTAATCTGATCTTTACTTTGAGTGCTGTGTTGTTTCAACCTAGGGATATCAGTGAATGTACACAGAATTTATGTTCCAGGAGTTAGTGTAGCGTTTCATTGTTTTGTGTTGTGTTTTTTTAACCTTGTTTAAATGTGTTTGTCTGTCTACCTACATATATGAATAAAATGTCCTTAGAGCACATTCTTCTGATTATATTTAACCTTGTTATTTGTTTTTAAATCAAACCTTGTTACTTGTTTTTAACTTTACTTTCTCAAATCTGGAGGATTTATCATTTACTGCTTTAGGGCAGGGGTAGAAGTAGGTTCTAGTAATGTTTTCCCAGAATTAGGAATTTGCAGTGATCTGTTGGGTTTCTCCTCTCTCTTCTTTTCTCCTCCTTCTCCCCTCCTGTGCTTGGCATTGAACTCAGGGCCTCACAAATGCCAGGCAAGTGCTGTGCTACTGAACTGTATTTCCAGCCCATCCCCCCCATATACATTTCTTGATTTTTATATAACTCGATTTTCAATTGTATTTTTTTTTTTTTGTTGCTGTTTTTGTGTGTGTTTGGTACACATGCCATGACATTCACAAAGAGGCAGAGGACAAGGTAGTAGAGTCATTCTTTTCACTTTGAAAGAGTTCTGGGGAGTAAACTCTGGTTGTCAGGGGTCGGTGGCATTTTTTTTTCTTCCTGCAAAGTGATCTCATTAAGCTTCTCTTTGTAATAACTTGATAGTAAAGACTTGATGCCAGTAATCTGTGTCTAATTTTGTTTTAGTTTAATTCATGATGTGGACTTAAGATCTTGATTGAATTGCTCAGTCCTATGGTGTTAAATTTGAGAATGCTAAGTTTGTTATGAGGGTTCTCAACTGGACTGTACACTTAAAAAGCATTGCAGATTTCTAGAGAACATTGTTTACAAAAATAGGGTATCCGGGATTGGTACCTATATGAATTTTGGATTCGAATGAGTAAGAGGGGGAAGAAGGGGGAGCGGGGAAGCGCGCCCAAAGGCCAGAATTGTTGGATTCCCCTGGAGCTTGAGTTACAGGTGGTTGTGAACTTCCTGACATGGGTGCTAGGAACTGTACTTTGGGTTCTCTGAAAGAGCAGTACACACTCTTAACTGTTGAGCCATCTCTCTGGCTCCATAAACCTGAATTCTTAATTCCATTGATGAGAGTATTTATTTATAGTATGTTTTTTTGGCAACAATTTGTCTGCAATGATTAGAATTTGAGATACATGCATAATTTTCATTAATTTCTTATTTCTACTTCCAGAAATTTGTGTAATAAAAGTATTTCTGAGTATTTAATAATTTAATAATTGTTTTGATGACTGAGTGCATTGGCACTCACGAGGCAGGAAGACTATGGGTTTGAGACTAGCTGGGACTATCCAGAGTCCTAGATCAGCCTTAGCTACTTAGTGAGATCTTGTATCAGTAAGAACAGGAAGTAAGAACAGGAATTGTGTAGCTCAATTCGAGAACACTTGCCTAGGTTCAGTTCCCAGCAGTACATGCACATGCACACACAGAAATTACACTTGCTAAGTCTTTTTGGTAGTAGAAAAAAAAAAAAAAACCCTAATGTTTGATTAATTGGTGACTCTAAGTTATGATATTTTTACATATTGGAATATAGTACTTATTTAGAAATGAAGGATGCAAATGGCTTGGAAAACAAAATATTGTATCTACTACCACTTACGTATAAAAATTTATGTGTTTGGTTTTTTTCATACATGCCTGTTAGGCGTATAAACACTCATATATGGAAAGAGAAACTGAGAAAACAGCACCAAACTGGAAACAGTCCTCTGCAAATGAATTGTAGCATGGGATGCCGGTGTTTGCTTTTTTGTACAGTTACTTTAAATAAATATATATATTTATATGGGGCAATGGAAGTGTGGCTCAAAGGTTCCGAGCATGTATTACTCTTACAGAGAACCTGAGTGTGGTTCCCAGCACAGTGTTGGGCAAATGATACCTCTGGCCTCTGTGGCTGTCACTGGTGCACATAGCTACACACAGTCACACACACATGCACCTATATTTGTATTTTAGTAATTTTTGTTAGAATTGCCTGTCCTGAAAAATCTAACAATGTAAGCTCCTACGATTATCTAATTAATTGATTTGTATCTTCCTTAGAACCATTTGTTAATTATGTATTCCTGATACTTTCCCACCAGCTTTTGAATGGGATTCTTAGAGCAGACATTCAAACATTTGATTTGGGCTTAAAGTAATGATAGCTGCTGTCTGCTGTGTGTGTTCTGCATGGTCTCCTCAGATTTGCTGCTTCTCTAGAAAGACTGCTGCAAAGATAGTTTATAATAGTGGTCTGTTTGATGTAACTAATTTGTTGAAACAATTGCATTTAAAGTCAATGTTTTCTGTTTTCAACTTTCCCTGGGGAAAATAATGGCAGCAGAACACATGGAAGGGCCTGGTAAGTTCAGCTTGAGGCTGAGGACCTAGAGAAAGTGTTGGGGAAAAGTTGATTCTTAATCAGCAACCTTCCTCACTTTCTCCCTGATCTCTGAAGCAGTAGCTTACCAAGATGAGTTATCACAGCTCCTGGGCAGTCAAGGTCAGGCAAACGGAAACTGCTTGCAGTTGCCCTGTTCCTGATTTACAAAGAGCCTGTGAAGAGCTCCTCACTGCAGGGCTAGCCTTTGGAACTTGTTCATGAAAAGCAGGCATTGGCCCTTTATTTAATATTACAGTAAAAATTGAGGATTCCTTTAAGTAAATGCTCTTTAAAGAGGATAAAGTCATAAGTTAGCTTATTTAATAATCTACACACAATCTAGCCTATGTTCTTTGGGGAGGGGTGCACAGTAAATATGCTATTAGTTACCAGGCAGAATCCAGGACAAACTAGATAACTGTTTTTCTGTGTTTTTGGTTTATCTTTAACTAGAATACCTGTATTCAGTTCTCAGTTTAACTGCTCAGAAGGGATTGAAGTTATTCAGAGATTTATTATACAGTATGCATCATAATTGGCCATTTGGATTTTATGAAAAGGAACAACAACAGAGTTGTTTTTGGAAGTCTTTTTAAACAAAATGTGTGCTACTTGGAGAAAGAGTTGAGATTGGTTGGCCCTTTTATCTCTGCCTCTTTTACTCTAAGCTACACTGACTGTTACTAGGAATCAGAAGCTTTCTGAGCAGCTCTTTTTTCTTTTACTTTGGTGACACTAACCATTCTTTGGTTTGCACATTCACAGGATTCTGATCTCCGAAGTGCACTTCTCTTGGAGCAGGCTGCTCATTGCTTCATAAACATGAAGAGCCCCATGGTTAGAAAATATGCTTTTCACATGATCCTGGCTGGCCATCGGTTTAGTAAAGCAGGGCAGGTAAGCATATTTCCTTTAAAAGGTTGTTGCAGCTGGCAAGATGCTTAGCAGCTAGGAGCTTTTGCTGCTTTTCCAGAGGACCTGACTTGGGATCCCAGCCTCCACTTTGAATAATTCACAGCTGCCTGTAACTCCAGCTGCTGAGAATCTGATACTCTTTCCTGGAATACCAGGGTGCCTGCACTCACCTGTGAACACAAACCCACATGTGCATACATAATTAAGTATAAAAACCAGTCTTTTTATTTTTTGTTTATTTTCATTTATTTGCAAAGTGTATTCTTGTCAGTTTTGTTGTTGTTTTTGAGACAAGTTCATACAATGTAGCTCTGGCTGACTCATACTTAGAGATCTTCCTGCCTCTGCCTCCTAAGTGCTGAGATTCTTGTCACATTTTTGTTTATTTCTTTATTTTTTGTGTATGCCCATGTGTGGAGTCAGACAACTTGCAGACATAGTTTTTTGGGGGGGGGGGGTGGAGGGGGGATTGTTCAAGACAGGGTTTCTCTATGTAGTTTTGGTGCCTGTCCTATATCTCACTCTATAGACCAGGCTGGCCTCGAACTCACAGAGATCTGCCTGGCTCTGCCTACCGAGTGTTTGAGATTAAAGGTGTGCGCCACCACTGCCCAGTGCAGACATAGTTTTTATCCTTCTACAGTGAGAGCCTTTGGGTTCAAAGTGGTTTACAGGCGTGGTGGCAAGCCTTTACCTTCTGACGATGCTTGCCCTCCCCCTAACCTTTTATATTTAATCCTAAAAGTTGAAATAAATTCTGCTTTTAGATATTTTGGTAAGGACATGAGATTTGGATTTAGACAGATACAGGCTTAAGCCTTGATGTATAAACAGCCTGGTTTTGGTTACTTAACTTTTCTGGAACTGCGTTTTGGTTTTGGTTTTTATTTTTATTTTATTTTTAAATTTTTATCCTGGTGTGACTGGACACCAGACAGACTGGGTATTGAACCCAGGTCCTCTGGAACATCATCATTGCTGTTAACTGCTGAGCCATCTCTCTCCCCTGGTTTTTAATTTTTAATTTATTATGTGTGTGGGCTCACATAGTATCATATTCCTTTGGAGATTGGAGGACAGTTCTTTGGAGTCACTTTTCTCCTGTCACTTTGTGGGCTTTGGAGATTTAACTCAGGCCTGCATGCAAGTGTCTCTATTCCTTGAGCAGTCAATCTCACTGGCCCTTTGTCTTTTTTATTCAGTATAGGACCCAAGCCCTGTGGGATGGTACCCTATATTCAGGATGGGTCTTCCCTCCTCAGTTAAAGCTTTCTGGAAACACTCTCATAGACACTCCCAGAGGTGTGTTGCCATGGTGATTCTAGATCTATTCAGGTTGATACTGCTGACTGTTATACCTTACCTCTTCACAGAAAGAATTTGAAATAAATAAAGACAAACTGATTAGTGAAATATTTTCCTCAGAAGTTAATCTCAGAGAAATAAGGGGTAATAGTGTAAGAACAGACAAAAACACATACACACTCACACTGGATGGCTGAGGAAGCCCAACCTGTGTCCACATAGAATTGTGTAATTGTGAGGAGATCATCGTAATTGTTAACTTCATTTTCTCTAGCACATTCTCTTGTAGTGGGTGAGCCAGTTACCTGTTTATACTTGGGCATGTCTCTGCATGTGTTTGTGTTTATCTTCTCTAGTTCAAGACAAATTTAAACTGTAGTACGTGCTTCACTTATTTTCTTACAGAAAAAGCATGCTTTGCGCTGCTATTGTCAAGCCATGCAAGTTTACAAAGGGAAAGGCTGGTCCCTGGCAGAGGATCACATCAACTTCACCATCGGGCGCCAGTCCTACACTCTGCGCCAGCTGGACAATGCTGTGTCTGCTTTCAGGCACATTTTAATCAATGAAAGCAAACAGTCTGCTGCTCAGCAAGGGGCCTTTCTCAGAGAGTATCTTTATGTTTATAAGGTAAGTACTCCTTCTCAGGAATAAATACTAAAATTGTTCTTAAATTATTATTTTCAGGAAAAAGTCTGCTTACTACTAGCCCCTTAGAGCATAATTAAATGGCTTTATTGTAGAGTATGTAATTACCTGTCATAAAAATTTGTGGACGGTTCCTTGGTTATAGCTCTGTACTACATGGCCTTTACACAGTTTTTAAAAAGAGAATTTTAATATTTCAGTAAATGTGGTTTTGTGGCTTTCCTTTCTTTCTTTAAATATTCTTGTAATTAAACTAGAATTGTATCAGTTCCCCCTTTCCTTCCCTTTAAAGCCTCTTTTTTAATTTAAATTTTATTTATTCATCTATCTATTTATTTATTTGATGTGTTTGGGTATTTTGCCTGTATGTCTGTGGATTACATCCATGCCTGATGCCTACAGTGGCCATAAGAGGTGTTGGATCCCCTGGGACTGAAGATTTACTTAGATAGTTGTGAGCCACCATGAAGGTGTTGGGAATCAAACTCTGGTCCTCTGGAAGAAGAACCAGTGCTCTTTGCTGCTGAACCATCTCTCCAGCCCCTTTTCTTAAGATAGGTCTCAGTCTTTAGTTAGGCTGGCCTCAGACTCTTTACCTTCCTGCCTTAGCCTTCCGAAAACTAGTATTATAGGTGTATACCACCCACACATGGCTTTCATTTGTGAATATTTTGAAATCTTTACAAGAAATGCCTTAAGATTTCTGGATTACTTATTTATTTTGTTTTTTTGAGACAGGGTCTCATAGCTCAGACTGGCCTAGAATTCTCTGTGTATTTGAGAATGAATTTTAATTACTGATCCTCCAGCCTCTTACCTCCCCAGTGCTGGATTGTGGGCATGTGCTGGCCCTGTTTATCACGTTTTTATAGGATTGCAGCTGATTTTACAAAATAATGGATCCTCCTACTACCCTTAGATTCGTGTGCTCCTTCCTTTTCCTGATAAAAGATGAGGTGTGGACTCACAGCAAGTGTTGTACTGTAATCTTGGTGGGGAGAAACCACAAACCACTGTTTGATAGGACACTTAGGATGTTTAAACCCTCCCCTTCAAGACCTGTGAAAGGTTGAATATTTTATCTTCCTCACAGAAAATAACTGCTCTTACTAATTCAGAGTCAGACCAGTTAAAAATTGGCAGATAGGACGCTATAATGACTCAACAAGAAGCAAAATTCATACTAAAGTACAATTGGAAGTTTAATATGCAACAAAACAAAAAGCTTAACTAGTTTAGTACTCTAATAAAAAGGTTCTATTTTAAAACGTAGTACTGGGAATTAATTAAAACCAGGGGCCAGTGCCTGCTAGATAAGCACTCTACCACTGAGCTGTCTCCCAGCCCTTTTATTTTTTGTTTTGAGATAGGGTCTTGCTGAGTTGCTCAGGTGGCTTTGTACTTGCTCTGAGGCCGAGGCTCCTGATTAGCGGGAGTTAGTTACAGGCTAGGAAGGTTCTCTAGAAGTAGAGTAAATAATGTCTAAAGTTCTCAATTGTAATCGTTTATGACTCTGATATAGCATATAAACTAGTCTTTGTATGTCTAAATTTTCTTGCATAACATTTGATACCTGTGTATTAAAAATTAGGAAACATGAAAAAAATGTAGCTTTCTTAAAAACTATTTTTTCCTTCTGTTGTATTTCTCCCAGAATGTAAATCAGCTGTCACCAGATGGCCCTTTACCACAGCTTCCCTTACCATACATTAACAGTTCAGCAACACGGGTTTTCTTTGGCCATGACAGACGACCAGCAGATGGTTAGTAAACTCTCACTTGGCCTAGTTAACTAATGATTATTTCTTTGAAGTGTTCTTTCTCCCACTAGAAATGGAAACGCTGTTGGGTAGTTGAAAATGGCTTTATGCTGCTTCCTCTATTGTCCAGTCATTAGAGCATAACCACTACCTTATTGTTTTTCTTTCCAGTCCAAAAACTAAAAACAACAAAAACCAAATGGGTGTGATTCTTTACAGCGGCTTCTCTCACTCAGGAAGTGCTCACTACTGTATCCCCTTGGCAAGGGGGATTTAATATTGTCATAGACGCCATTCATTGCCTATAAAGCACCTTTAAATACAGCATTCATTCCCTTCCTGTAGTTACTGATTTTAGTTTTTTTGCTTGTATAAAATCATATTGTGATAAACATGTATATAACGTAGTTTTTAATTGATTTATTTTTCTGTCCTGAGACAAGATTCCCAAGCTAGCTGGAACTCTGTATAGAGAAGGCTGGTCTTGAACTTGGAGTAAGCCTTCTGCCTCTGTCTCTCACGTGTGGGTTATAGGTGTGCAGCTTAGCTTAGGTTCTTCAACTTTTTTATTATGGAAATGTGTAGAAGCAGACAACATGGTTTACCTCCTCTGCTTGTAAGATTTTTTTTTTTTTTAAGGTTAAAAGAAAAAATGTTTTTGAAACAGAGTTCCATGTAGCCCGGGCTGGCCTCAGACTTACCGTGTACCTTAAGGTGACCTTGAACGTATCCTCTTGCTCTTCCCAGGTGCTGGGATTACAGATGTGTGTCACCACGCTTAATTTATGTGGTTCTGGGACCAAATTTTGTGTGTGTTAGGCAAACAACCTCCACCTAAGCTACATCACCACCCCTTTTAAACCAATACAGGATCTTTTTTTTTCCTTCAGGGTTGAGGCTTCAAAGGGCATTTACTATTAGACTAAAGGTTGGGTATACTGATGTTCTTGATGCATGACGAGCTAAGCTTTGTCATCATAAATACTTTTACATTTCAGCTCAGTGTGTTTCTCTTTCAAATCTAATTTGATGTTTTTTTTTTTAAAGTCAACTTTACATCATGATTTTTCTTTATTGCAAAAATATTTTGATACATTTACATAAGGAACATATGCTTCAGGGCCTGAATGAACTAATTCTGCATGTTTAACTTTGGATAATGGAACATAATGTTGAGTGAAAAAAAATCTTTTACAGCTTCAATTTGAAATACAGAAACCAGTTCCATGCATTGACTTCTGACTTCTGATGAAATTTATAAGAAAAATATGCAAACATGTCTGAAAGTGATACATTTTAAGCTCCAAGAGAAATGATACCAGCAGAAGTGGTGGGGGTTAGGATTGGGAGGAATGCAGAGAGAGGGTTTGACTTTGGCTATAATGCTTTTTTTTTTTTTTGTAAATAAATAAATAAATAAAATAAAAATCAGGCTCATGAGATGAAAGTTGACTTAAAAAATTTTTGAGATATGAGTTTGACTTGATGGCTCAAGAGGTGATGGTACTTGCTCCAATGCCTGAAGACTGAGTTCAGTCCTGGGGAGCCACATGGAGGGACGAGAGAACTGATCCCCAAAAGTTGCCCTCTGACCTCCATTTGTGCCAAGCATGCACCCCCCCATTTAAATAAATAAATAAATGTAATTAAAAAAATAGTTAAGATACAATCAGTGGGGCTGGAAAAATAGCTCGGTGGTTAAGAGCACTGGCTACTTTTCCAGAGGACCCGGGTTCCAAAACCCATATGGCAGCTCACACTGTTTTGTAATTTCAGTTCTTGGAATTTCAAAACCTTCTTGCCTCCATGGGTACCAGGTAAATAAGTGATACACAGACAGACATGCAGGCAAAGCACCCATAGACATAAAATAAAAATATTTAGATTTAAAAAAAAAAGCTGTGCAGTGGTGGCACATGCCTTTAATCTTACCTCTCTGGAGGCAGAGGTAGGTGGAGTTCTGAGTTCGTAGCCAGCCTAGTCTACTGAGCGAGTTCCAGGACACAGAGCTACACAGAGAAACCTTGTCTCGAAAAACAAAAAATAAAATAAAAAATAAATAAAGATATAAGCCAGGAGTGGTAGTCATACCTTTGATCCCAGCACTTGGGAGGTAGAGACAGGAAGATGTGTTTCATGTCATCTTTTAAGTTCCATAGCTTGTTACAGGCTAGCCTGAGCTACAAGAGCCACTGAGTCAAAAACAGAATTTTTATCTAGAAGCAGTTTTACTTATTTTTCTGTATGTTGAAATATTTTCTGTAAAATTTGTGGAAGTTAGGGAAAATAACATTATTTCAGAATCAGAAAAAAAATCAGTATTAGAGCAAAGTTGTTGTTAAGCTAGGATTAGAGAATAGATATTTGTGAATCAAGAGAATTAGAAATTAGGCAAGAGTGCATATATATGTACATATATTTGGATACCTCTGGTTCTTATTTGAAATATGCTTTATATGAGGCAGATGTTCATGAGTATGTATTTAAGTGTGAAATGTGCTTTCTTTTTCCTTTTGTTTTTTTAAGGTGAAAAGCAAGCGGCTACTCATATAAGTCTTGATCAAGAATATGACTCTGAGTCATCTCAGCAGTGGCGAGAACTTGAGGAGCATGTTGTGGCTGTGGCTAATAAAGGAGTAATTCCATCCAGTTTCTACCCCACACAGTATTGTTTGAACAGTTACTCAGACAACTCCAGATTTCCACTTGCAGTTGTGGAAGGTGCTATAATTGAACTAAAAAATATTTTATATGTATAAATGTTTTGCCTGCATGTGTGTATATGCACCACATACGTGCCTCGTGCTCCTGGAGGGTAGAGGAGGTGGATAGATCTCCTGGAATTGGAGTTAAAGATAGTTGGGAGCTGCCGTGTGGGTTCTCTGCAAGACCAGCAAGTGATCATAACCACTGGGCCATCTCTCCAGCCCAATACTGAAGTGTTTATTCATGACTTTCTGTTCTTAGAGCAAATTCCAGATAGTTTATGATCTGCCACATTACTGCAGGCCATGTGCACAAAGATAGCTCACTATGTGCTGAGCTGCATTTGTAAGCAAGTGGTGGGGCTCTAATGTCCATGTATGTTACATGTGCTGGAGCACCAAGAGAATGACGTTAGGAACATCTAAGTCATTTCCAAACTGTATAAGGTGACAGAAGACAGTCTAGGCAAAAAGACAGAAAGGTGTTAGAGGCAGGGTCAGGGTTATGAAAGTTACTAAACGTAGCCTTTTCTTTCTGTAGAGCCAATTACGGTGGAAGTGGCGTTCAGAAACCCTTTGAAAGTTCCACTTTTGCTGTCGGACTTGTCATTGCTCTGGAGGTTTCAGCCTAAAGATGCCAATGGGAAAGACATCGAAACAGTTAGAGAACGAGTAAGTCACTAGCTGGTATCTGTGATGTGTGTGTGTCTCAGCTACAGTCCGACAGTCTGTCGCTGTTTTACTCTTTATTCTGCTTACTCATGAAATGTGAGAATACAGAAAAGCATCATCTTAAAACTATCTTCCTGCTATTTAGAAACAGCTACAGTAACATTTTGCTGTTTATATTGAGTTTTCATTTTTATGTTTTTTGCTCATCTTTTTGTATTTCCTTCTATTCGTGTTGCTTTGTTCATTCATGTTGCTTGGCCTGTGTTTTCTAGTGTTAAAATGTCTAGTACTTCATTTTTATGTAAACTGTCACAGATGATTCATAGACTTACCTTACTGTCATCTACTAGTTAGAGTGAAGAGTTCCATGTTTACTATCACAATAATTCTGTGGTGAATTTTAAAATTTAAATTGTAGTAGAATTTTGGGTCGAACCGATGGCCGCTCGTGCTAGCTAGGCAAGCACACCCACATATCCTTGGCCGTTGTTAACCGTGAGCAATTGAACTTCTCTTGGGTCTTGTCCTCTTGATGACTGCATCCTTGAATAGATCACTTAGCCACTTTAGTGGAGTCAGCTGAACAAAATGAAAAATACATGTCAAGTGCCTTCCGTAGATAGGCTTTCCTGTGGGGGTGGAAAACCTTGCACAGCGCTTAACCTGGAGGCGCTGACTTCAGTTGGTGTTCCTCTTTGTAAATTTGGCCAGCAAGATGTTAATGATTTGTTATTTTATTCACTAGTATGTATATTTTTAAAAAATATAATTTGTTCTTTAGGTTACAGGTGAACCTGAAATGATTGGAACTGAAGTTATTTCAGAATTCTTAATTAACAGTGAAGAATCTAAAGTGGTAATTGTTTTAAGCATTTATCTTTGTTTTATGTTTCTAAGCTTGTAAACCGAAAACAAAATTTAAAAGATCAGCTTAATTCTTTTAGCTATTAGGTTTTCTAGCTTTTTTAAGTCTAAAATTTGAAATATTAGAGAACTGGAGTTGCTCCAGAGAAATCAGTAGAAAAGTAGTAGTTTGTCTTTGAACAAGTTTCCAGAGACGCCTGGTACAAGCGTTTTACCACTTCTTGGTATTAGTATGGCAAATGTATAGACACTTAGGTGTGCAGATTTGTTTGTTTGTTTATTGAGACAGGGTCTCACTGTGTAGCCTTGGCTGTCCTGAAACTCAGTATGTAGCCCTGGCTGGCCTGGAACTCAGAGAAATTGCCTGGCCCTTTCTCTCTCAAATGTGGGGATGGAAGAAGGTATGTGCCACCATGCCTAGCCCAGAGTTGGTCTGTGGCTGTTCTTTTAGGGCTGGGGTGTTTTTAGTTTGTGCAAGGCCTCGTTTGAGTCCCAGTACTACAAAAGAAAAAAATTGTGTTTTCGAGGATCAGGACATAATTTTTGATTTGTTTTTTGTCCAGCATGGTGGTGCACACCTTTAATCCCAGTACTTGAAAGGCAGAGACAGGTAGATCTCTTTGAGTTTGAGGCCAGCCTGGTCTACATACCAAGTTCCAGACTTGCTAAAGCTACATAGTGAGACCTTAGCTCAATAACAAAACAAAACAAAAACCCAAAACAATTACTGAATTTACAGATCTTCTTTTAAGAAAGATGCTTTTCCATACATAGCCAACAGGGGAGCTGCCACAACTAAGAAAGTGATTTCCCAGGGCAAGCCTCTTCCATTGCACTTGGGGTTTGCTGTGGCCCTGTGATTTCCCCAAATGGAGGAAACTCCACTGCATAATTTGTGACAGATGGTAAACTGTATATGCTTTCCCCTGAAATAAAAATTAAAATAAAAAACAAGAAAAATACTTTTCCATAAGAAACATTGTCAGTTTAAAAGTTTAGCTCATGAGTTAATTCTGCAACATTCCAAATTGAGATACTGTGCTATTTAAGATCCTATGAAAACATAATAAGAATGACTTCAATATTTCCATAGGCAAGACTGAAGCTCTTTCCCCATCACATAGGGGAGCTGCACATTCTGGGAGTTGTGTATAATCTTGGCACTATTCAGGGCTCCGTGACAGTAGATGGCATTGGTGCTCTTCCTGGATGTCACACAGGTAAAGCTATAGCATCGATAAGCAGTTAGAAAAGTAACTCTTAAACTATCCCATAGAATACAGTGAATGAATAGAGTTTTCTTCTAAATAGGTCTTATGTGCCTTTCAAGCATATCCAGCCTTTTGACATTGCCCATGTTACGTTGTCATGTACAAAGTTCCTATTTGAGAACTGCAGTCAAATTACAAAAGATTATTGCCAAGAAAAATCTCATAATATTTTAATGTGTTGGGCTGCAGGTTGGACACACCAGCTATATAATGGCATCTAGACATGTATAAGCATATGTAATTTAGATTATTCTAAGTTCTGGCATAGGTTCAAAGTATGGGATTTTATTCCCTTGATAATATTTTTGTTACTGATCTCAATTTAGTAGATTCTAACTAACTAAATTTTATTTGTTGAAATGTCTGCTGCCAGTACAAAACCACCTTAGTATATTTTGTTTTTAATATTTCCTTTTTATCAAACAACATACTAAAGCCACTGTTTCCTCTGTCTTTGGATATTAAATACTCAAAGCCACCTGTGGCAGTCCATGCCAATAATTCCAGTTTCTTGGGAGGCTAAGACAGGAGAACTGCAAAAATAGCCTGAGCAGTTTAGCCAGACAATGTTTCAAAACAAAAGTCATAAAATTTGAGCTATTGGTGTCGCTCCCTGGTAGTACATCTGCTTAGCATGAGGCCCCAGGTTCAGTCTTCAGTACTGATGAACAAAACAACAGGAAAAAAATCACCTGAAATATTGTTATCTATACCCAAAAGGAGCAGAGTTAGTTTTAAGCTAATATTCTTGGTGCCCTAAATAGTATTCTCTGTAGACTTTGAAGAAAACTAAGATACATACATGCACTTCACATGGTTTGGTGGGTTTTGTTTGCTTGATTTTTAAATAATTCGGAGAACTCTATAGTTAATATATAGTCGGGTGAGTTTAGGTTGAAAAGATGCTGTGAAGGGAGTTTGTAATAAACTGCTGTAGTTCCAGCACTTTATTTTTGTAGATGTATCTTCTAACAAATTAAAATTGACTGCCGTTCATGTGGTTGGTGTGAATTTAGCATTCATAATAAAAGCTGATTATTAACAGTGGGAATCTCTTGGAACACTTGCTGACTTTCACGCTTGTAGTTAACATTTCCACTGGGACATAAGAGAAACTCAAATAGAAAGGATCAATCAGTGGGTTTTGTTCCTACACAAAAATTGAGTATGGTCTTTTGAGTTTTCGTACTGTCTTTCTGCTTCCTGTTTGATAGGCAGGTTAGGCAGATTATTTGTAAGTAGTCTTGCTAATTTATTACATTTTAAAGCAGTGTGAGTGAGTATTGAAATTTTTTTTAACTTTCCTTTCTCACTGGTACTTAACCCTTAATCTAGTACCACAGAATTTTGATTTTCCGTAAAATATTGCTAACAGGGTGCTAAAACAAAATACATTAAAGATCATAATTTATGTTAGTGTGTGACAGTGACTGTGAGTTAACATTAAAACAAGTCCCATCTTATAAACAGAATTTTCATGACATTTTAGTGTAGCTACTTTTCATGCAGAATGTTCATAGGGATCTGGGCATAATAGTTTATGGAAGCACTACATTGTATATCTCATCTGGAACCGCCAGAGTGATCAAAGGCCCTGAATAGCCTTCCGGAAAGGTGGAGCTGTTTGCCCACCCTAGCTCTTTCACACATATGAGTACATGGTTTACTTGGGTGAAACCTCACATGAATATTGAAGAAGTTAAAGAGAAAACTTTCTGTATTAGAATTTTCATTCTTCAGCCTTTTGAGAAGATATAGCTAGTTATATGTCTTCAAAATAATGCTATATTTGGTATGAGTAAAAGTAAAAAGCTGACCTGTTTTATGTTTTACTTTTTATTTTTATGTTTTATTTTTTAATACGTTACTTAATATTTTCTTATGGCCCACTGGGCCAAAGATAGTTGTTTTCGCATTTTTTTTGATGAATAAGGATACTGGTTTTTAAAGACTGCTACTCAATGATGAGTAGCCTTCATGTAACATAAGTAAATAAAAAACAAAATGAGATGTTGAATAGCACACCATAGATGATGTTAAATATGGAATAAAGTATACTTAGTGTTGTAATTACATGTGTTACTCAACAATTACATGGGATTTATGGAAATTTATAGCATTTATTTATAGTATTCATATATTCAAGTTAAATTAAATCATCAAACCTGTCATATTATTTTTAGGGTATTGATTTTTTTTAATTTCAGGAAAACATTCTTTGAGTATGTCAGTCCGAGGGAGACAGGACTTAGAAATTCAGGGCCCTCGACTTAACAACACGAAGGAGGAGAAGACATCTGTCAAGTACGGTCCTGACCGGCGTTTAGACCCTATCATTACCGAGGAGATGCCGTTGCTGGAGGTATGGGGCTCCTTCCATCAGGACTGTAAAAGTTTGCAGAGCCAGATAATGTTTTATAGAAATTAATTTTAGGTTGAGGTTGTTGATAGTATATTGAAGTGTACTTTCTGTTGTGGTCTGTTTTAAGGCAGGGTCTCTCTACGTAGTACTGGCTGGCCTTGAACTCACAGAGATCTGCCTCCTGAGTGCTGAGAACTGCACTGTTAAACTATTGTTAAGCTAGCTAAATGGTTCTCATTGATAGAGGTCAGGCTATGTGCAAATTGACATTCCACCACAGTCATGCTATAAGATAGAATCCTGAACATATTAATAGAAACTGGGGGAATATTCATAACTCAGCACTTTGCTTATTGAACTTGATGACCCTTTTGCAGTGTATAAAAATAATATGTGAGTGAATGCTCATAGACAGTGTAAGCAGTATGTGGGGATGAATGCATCTGGAATGTAACCCAGACTCAGACAGATGACCTATAGTGTGTGTGTGTGTGTGTGTGTGTGTGTGTGTGTGTGTGTGTGTGTGTGTGTGTATACATGTATATACATATACACGTGTATATACATACATAAATATATATGCGTGCAGATGAGCAGGACTGTAGGTTAGGCCACTAGTAAGGAGACCATAAGAAAAAGGTGTTGAGGAAGGAGGGAGAAGCAGTACGATGTGACATGTCCATGGAAAGGCTGTGTGGGGACATGGAAGAGTACAGGGTTGCCCGGGGCCATGGGGGAGATGGGAGAATGTTTATAAGGACCATAATGAAATCTAAAACTATATGTGTTAGTTTTTAGTTTCCCTGATAGGGAAGTTAGTAAGTGATCACCTTTCTCCAAAAGGTGCTTGTAATATGATCCCAAAATGGTATTTATGTTTTTAGACCTAATGGTCTTAAGTATAGTGTTGGTAGTTAGTTATAAATAGTATCATGTAGCATGGTTGGGTGGTGGTAGTGTTGTGTATTAAGATGAAATAATTTTTGAGCTGCATACATTCTGCTCAGATCTAATACATTTTAAGGCAGAGAGGCAAAATTTAATGGGGGGTGGGGAGGATACAGGCCCAAATGCTGTTTTCTTTTTGATAAATATTTTATGTATGTTTTAGCTTTATTTGATATTTGTTCATGTTGAGGATTTTTATTTATCTAAATTCATATTTAGCTTTTTATTTGTTGTTTCTTTGTTCTATATTGACTCTTTCAGTTAAAACTTCTCAGTTAAGTTAAATATTATTGACTGATTGTGATGCTGGGGTTCAAACCCAGGGTCTCACATGTGCTTGCTATGAATTCAGCCATTGAACCTGCTCTGTCTTATTTACTGATGTCTATATGCTTTAAACATTTTATTCTTTCCCTTTCCTTGTGGTTTTCTTCACATTATTTCTCTTGCGTGAGTGTATGGATGCACTTACAAATAGAGTATGCTTGTGAGGTCAGAGGATGGTGGTTTTTCTCCTGCCATGTGAGCTTGAAGGTAGAACTCCAGCCCAGACCTTCCCCTGTTTGTGGAGTCTGTGGAGCCCAGGTTGACCTGGGATTGCTAGTCTTCCCACCTTGTCTGCCCAGTGCCTAGGCACCCTGCCTGTCATACTTGTGTTTTAAATTGAAGGCGTGTGTTCTCTTGAATGTCAAGGGTAAGAACAAAGTTTGTTTCTAGTCCTAGTACTTTTAGTGGGGTGCAGGCTGCTCATGATGCCATCTTTTTACTGATATTCTGAAAAATATCCACACTTTTTTCCCCCCAAGTTTTTATTATTTGTTGAGATAGGGTCTTACTATGTTAGCCATAGCTAGTCTGGAACTTGATATTTAGGCCAGACTGGCCTGAGATCATCAGCCTACTTCTTCCATTTGAGAGTTGGGATTAAAGACATGGGCCACCATGTGTGGTTGTCTGTTTGCCACTGTGTGCTACCTATTTGATTCAGTGGTATTTCCACATTTTGGTGTGTGTCATATCATGTCTTTAACATGGCAAGCCCAACCTCCTAATGTCCCATTTACCTCTCCCAGCTTTAAGTTCTTACAGTGGTAATTCATTGACATCATGTGGTTGTAGGTAAGATTAGCACCCAGGAATAAATTGAGACAGATTGTATTTAAATGCCATGTTAAGTATGCTCTTTTATAGTTTAAAGTCATAGACGTTTGTCTGGAATTCTATAGGTAACAATTTATGAGAGCTTACTTTCAGAAGAGGATATTCTGATCACTATAGTAAGTTCTCAAAATAAATTAGTAGAGGTCACCAAAATACATTAAATTCTACTAGTTTGCAGTTTTTATTAAACCATATAATTGAAATGTCCCTTAGTTATTAAAGCTGTTAAAAGTATAACCAGACAGGGGAACGGGAAGGGATGGGTTGTGGGTGGTGGCACACACCTTTAATTTCAGCACTTGGGAGGCAGAGGCAGGCAGTTCTCTGAGTTTGAGGACAGCTTTGTCTACAGACTGAGTTCCAGGACAGCCAGGGCTACACAGAGAAACCCTGTTTGGAAAAAACAAAGGAAGGGAAGTCCAACTTTTGTATTTCTTTAACTTAATAATTTTACTTTTTTTTTGAGAACTTCATACATGAGCCATATTCATCTACATTACTCTCATTCCCTCTAACTGCTCTAACTTCTCCACTTATGTTCTCTCTCCCAAATCGGTGACCTCTCTTTTTTAATTAGTGTGTGTGTGTGTGTGTGTGTGTGTGTGTGTGTGTGTGTGTGTGTGTGTGTGTAATAAGTAAATAAGTAAGTAAGCCTTCTGAGTCCATTCAGTTTTGTACATGTGTCCATGTGTCCAGGGCTGGCTACTTGGGATTGGGTGACCTCTGTGAGAGCTCATTGCTTCGGTCTCCTTTCTTGTCAGCCATTGACATCTGTAGCTCTTCATCTGGGGTAGGACCACATGGAATGTCCCCTGTCAGTGTTCTTTATTAACTGGTGCTGTCGTTCTGCTGGGCTTGTTCAGGCAACCACATTGTTGGGAGTTCATGGCTAAACCTTCTCTGTCGTATGTAGGAAACAGCAGTAGCAGACACCCTGGTCTCTGGCTCTTCCAGTCTTCCTTCCCCCTCTTCCTTGATGCTTCCTAAGCTTTAGGTGCAGAGGTTGCAGCAGGTCGTGCTCTCAGATGGCACACAGTTGTAGATAGAGCTGTATTCTCAGTCTCAAACTCACTACAGGAACCAGGTACTGTCATTGGCTTAAACTTGGTGGAACTTAGCGGCTTTTCAATTCCCATCCATCCTGTGTTTGGAACTGCTTGTGTTGGTCATGTTTGTTCTTGTGTGGCAGTTTGAACCTTGTGCATCTGAGAGCAGTGTTTGGAAGGAGGCCACTTCTTACTCTGTAGAAACAACTAATGTTGGCTGACCAGTCTTGTAAAGAATGAAAATTTTTATGTATTTGGGGTTGAAATGAGGACCAGAGGCCATCTGTGTGAGTGCTGGGGTGTGTTTTCAAGAGTTTGATTTTGTCTGTTATGTGTTAAATCACTAGGAAGTCATTAAGTTTCTAGTCTTGGTTTCTTAGCATTTGAGTGGTCTGATTTATGCCTAGTTTTATTCACAGGTTGAAAAATCCTCCATTTGCCCCCATTGAGTTATTAAAAGCCTGGGTTATGTGGAGCTTTTGGACTTTAAAGTTGTGAACATGGGATCATGGGTCTGGTCTCTATGTTCTCTGTGAGAGCCATGGTTATTTACTGATGCAGTTAGATACTTTTAAACTTGACAGTGATAAACCAAGACTCATTTTCATCTAATTTTTAGAGTCATTCAAAATAGCTCGTAACTTGTCCATAATCTACATAGTGATGCAAGTTTGACAAATTAGTCATCTTGTTCTTGTATTTTAAATTCAGAATTTAAAATCTGAGTGGCAAAAAACATTAGATGCTTGATTCAGAGATAGAACTATGAAATAACTTGTTCTTTTAGAAAACAGTTTCAGCGTTGCTCATCAGAGGCTCAGAATTTTAACAGTGTAATAATATTTTTTCCCTCCAATGCAGGTGTTCTTTATACATTTTCCTACAGGGCTCCTCTGTGGAGAAATCCGGAAAGCATATGTCGAATTTGTCAATGTCAGCAAATGTCCTCTGACTGGATTGAAGGTTGTGTCTAAACGTCCGGAGTTCTTCACTTTTGGGGTCAACACTGCTGCTCTAACACCACTGAGCCCTTCCACATCTGAAAACTGCAGTGCTTACAAGACGGTAGTTACAGGCGCTGCCTCTGCAGGCACGGCACTTGTGTCTTGTGCGTCTTCTGGAGACTTTGGGACCAGCACAGGACAGCAGCTGGAGGCCATCCCAGTCCCCCTTCCTGATGCCGTGCTGCTCCCCGGGGCTTCTGTCCAGCTGCCAATGTGGCTTCGAGGGCCAGACGAAGAGGGTGTCCATGAGATTAACTTTTTATTTTACTATGAAAGTGTTAAAAAGCAGCCTAAAAGACGGTGGGTAATTTAACACTTTTAAAGTGTAAGATCCGTACTTAGTGTGTTTACGTATTTGAATAAATAGTTGGTACTTGTTAATATATTATACATCATCATTTACTAAGAAGTCACCATGTTCCTGACTGGGTGGTGGTGGCGGCGGCGGCGGCATTGCACGCCTTTAATCACAGCACTCGGGAGGCAGAAGCAGGTGGACCTCTGAGTTCCAGACCAACCTGGTCTATGGAGCAAGTTCCAGAACAGCCAGAGCTACACAGAGAAACCCTGTCTTGAAAAACAAAAAACAAATAAAAAGATACTGTCTCTCAAATTATGTATGATGTTTATATCTGAATTTGTTATAACTTAATTCTAGGTAGCTAAGAATGGGGAAAAAATAGCTACATGAAGTTTTGTTTTGTTTTTTAAATAGAAAGTGAAAAACTCAAATTTTTTTTTTTTACTTTTTTTTAAAGTCTATAAACTTACTGATTCTTTAATAGATTTAAATGCTGTGTCATATGTATATCAAGCCCCCTTCCATACAGCATCCTTTTGTAAGAAGATGATTTTGGTATGTATGGGAAATGTGTGTGCAGTGGTGTTCCAGTGGACAATCACTTAAGATCTCCAACCTCACTGTTGTACAACTTCAGACCTACATGTTTCACAGCAGAATTCGAATACTACTGCCATCTTTATAAAATTAACATTTGTTTTATTCTGTAGAATATCGAAATGTCATGTGAAACAGTATAAGGACAAAAATAGGAAAATACTTGAAGTGATGGTACAGTTTGGGGCCTTAATAATGTGAATTCTCCTTAAGATGATGCTGCATTGTGGGTTCTTAGTAATGTGGATGCTCCTTAAGAGGACGGCCACAGCACTCTGGCCAGGGGAGCGTTAGAGCCGAGGTAGTGAAAGGGGCTTCAGAGGGCAGAGGGACTCCAGGACATGGGTTCCCGAGTCAGCCACTCCAGTGCGGTTTACCAGTTAGAATAAGAACTGAATGCTTTTGCCACAGTACAAACTGTGGGAAAGAGGTCAAGTAGGGTTTGATGTGGTAGCACATGCCTGTAATTGGGGAGATGAAGGCAAGAGCAGGAATGTAAGGCCATCCTGAAACAACACAGACTTTGGCTTAAAAACTAGACATTGCATTTGAAATGTGCAGTTTTGAATACCAAGTTAAAAGTTGAAGTTTCAGGCCTGGGGATATGTGCCTCAGTGGTTAAGAGTTCTTGCTGTTTTTCCAGAGGACCCATGGTTGGTGCCCAGCATTCATATTGGGTGTAATCCAGTTCTTGGTAGTCTGGTGCCTTCTTCTGGCCTCTTTGGATACCCATACATATGTGCACACATAAATACACAAATTAAGAAAAAAATTAAGTTGTGGTTTTATTGGTAGTTTTAATTTTGAGACTTATTTATTTATTTTGAGACAGTATCTCATTATGGTAGCCTTGGCTAGCCTGGAACTCACTGTAGACCAGGTTGGCCTCAAACTCACAGAGATCATTCTACCTCTGTCTCCTGAGTGCTGGGATTAAAGGTGTGTGCCACCATACATTTTGGGAGCATCTTTGGGACCTCTTTTAAGAGAGAAGGTGTATATGTTTTTATGTGAAGGTTATTTTCACTATGTCATGGTTTGATGAGCAGGAAAAAAGCCTAGAGCCAGGATTACTGTTAATTTTCTTCTAAATTGAGAAGAAACAATTGAACTGAACTTAGTCTAACTATAATTTGTTTTCTGGTTTTATGCAATCCTGGAAGTTACCATGTTTCTGGTCTTTATTTAGATTTAGAGATTTGTAACATAGGGAGAGACTCTTAGATTCAGTTTGCATGTGTTTTTAATCTTCAGACACAGAATATTAAGACACACTGCAGTTATTTGTACTAGCCGGTCTTTGAACGTGCGAGCAACTGTCTGCAGAAGTAATTCACTTGAAGATGAAGAAGGCAGGGGAGGCAATATGCTAGTCTTTGTGGATGTGGAAAATACCAATACTGTAAGTTATTTTAAAGCTGAATTTTGTTTAAAGTGTATTTAGAAATGTTTGGTTTTGGCAAATGTTTTTTCCTACAGTTTAGCGTAAGTAGGGATTTTAGAACTATTCACATAGTCTAGTATGAAAACATGTTAAAATTCTCCACTGGGTTTCATTTTGTGAAAGGATCTGCTGATAATAGTATGGTACATCGGTGTCAGGTGTAGTATTTGGTGATACAGTCTGAGAGGTAATGAAGTGTGTGTCGTTCTGTGAGGATTTCACATTCCGTATTACCGTAATAGCCCTGTTCTCACATGCTCTGACAGTACCATTCCCTTTATAAAAGACATTTCTCTCTGTACACTCCAAAGTCAAGAAGCTGATTGTGAAGCTTATAGAGCCTCAAGTTGATCAATTCAGATACTTATCAAATGTTATCAGTTCTGTAATGCTTGCTTTTGGTTTCATAAGTCTGTGAAACCACTTTTTAAGAAACATTGAGGTTTATTGTGCCGAAATGTTGGTGATTTTTCACAAGACTATGTTCATTATTTGAGTAAGAAGATGTTAGTAATTTCTAGTGTCAGATTAGCTCTCACTTAAGGAAACATAACAGTTATATACAATTTAAGTTACACACTAGTTTGAGAGTTTTTTGTTGTTTCTCCCCCGTCTTATAGTGGCTCCTATGTGTTAGTCTAGGTAACTTTGAATTGTCAGCCTCCTGAGAGCCAGGATTATAGGCAAGTGGCAGGTGGCACTGTGCCCAGCTAATTGCTTGTTGTCCCCCCCCCCCACCTTTTTGAAAATGAGATATTTCTGGACAAAATGCATTAGAAGAAATGAGTGTCATACCACCCCCCTTTTTTGAGAGAGAGAGATCTAGTCTCAAACATTCTGTAGTTGAGAATTACTTTGAACTTTTTTTTTTTTTCAGATTTATTTATTTATTGTGTATACATTGTTCTGCCTGCATGTATGCCTGCATGCCATAAGAGGGCACCAGATCTCATTACAGATGGTTGTGAGCCACCATGTGGTTGCTGGGAATTGAACTCAGGACCTCTGGAAGAGCAGCCAGTGCTCTTAGCCTCTGAGCCATCCCTCCAGCCCTACTTTGAACTTCTAAGCCCATGCTTCTACCTCCTGAGCACTGAGATTATAGGCATGTATCACCACATCTGTCTTATAGAATGCTAGGAATTGGACACAGAGGCTTCATGAATGCCAGGCCAACTGAACTATTACCCTGTCTCAGAAAGTGTCATAGTTTAGTTAAAAGTCCACAACCAATTTATTCTTTCTCTCTTGAGTCATTCTGTAACCAGAGAAGTCTGAAACTTGAGATGTAGTACGTAAACCGTGGTCCTTTTGTTCTAGCCTCCCAAGTGCTGAGACTGGATGTGAACTGCCATGCCTGACTTACAAATAATTTTGATGATTAAATACTACCAGAATTAGTAGATTCTAATAACTTTATGTATGGATATATATTATACTATGAATATATAATATACTAATATATTTCTTCAGTGAAATGTTGCTTTCTCCCAAGTGTTAGAGGATTTGAATAACCTTTTGAGATACATATTGTTGAATTATTTCATATACATATTACATCTAATGTTTTTATTTTATTTCTGAAGATTTGTTTTTATTTTATGCATATGAATGTTCTGTCTGCTTATATATAACTATATGTGTGCCTCGTGTCCATGGAGGCCAGAAAAAAGGGCTGGATTCTCTGGAAACGGAATAGATTATTGTAAGCTGCCATGTGGGTGCTGAGAACTGAACCTAGGTCCTCTGGAAGGAAGCTCAGCAAGTGCTCCTAACCACTGATCCATTTCTCTAGCCCCTGCAAATCTAGGTGTTTTGTGCCCGCCCCCATTTTATTTTCCCTATGCTGGGAATTAAGTGGGGCCTTGTACATGAGGTCAGTGCTCTACCATTGAGCTCCTTCCCCACCCTCTACTGTTACTTTTGATTGATTTGAGTGGCATCTGATTTTGTCCTCACTGGAGTATTTTACCTCGGTTCCTTTAACCTCAGGTGACTTGTGTGTGTCTTTGACAGAGTGAAGCAGGGGTTAAGGAGTTCCACATGGTGCAGGTGTCAAGCAGTAGCAAGCACTGGCAGCTGCACAAATCCGTGAACATCTCTGAAAACAAAGGTCTGTGCCCTTACCTCACACTGATCTCACGGGGAGGGGGGACTGGGTCACTCACTTCCTTGTTGTTGGGAGCACACACATGAAGATGCAGCTGAAGGGAGGAAGGGTGTTTGGGCTGCAGTGTGAAGGGATACAGTCCATCCATCCTTTCAGGGAGGGCACAGGGGCAGGGGCATGACACAACAGGTCACACCGCATCTGCGTCAGCAAGCAGAGAGGGTGGATAGGAAGTGGGACTAGGCGTCATACCTCAGGATCTGTCTGTCCCAGTTCCCACTTCCACCAGCAAGACACCACTAGCTGCGGACCACTTGTTCAAACACTAGCAATAGGGGCTTTTAACACTTGAAGAATAGGAGTTAACTGAACATGTGGAGAAATCTGTATAGTCAGAGTGCATGGCATATTCATGTTTACTGGAGAAAAATTGGTTGTGGCTTTAGTGTAAACTATGCTGCTACTCATGTAGACTTTAGTAGCCAGCAAAATACATCAGCATTTAATTTTTTTACTTTTATCTATTTTTGTATTTGTATCTGTGTGCATGTAAACATTCATTTTCCACAGCACACAGGTGGAGGCCAAAGGACAACTTGGGGGAGTCAGTTCTCTCCTTCCACCATATGGATCCCAATATTAAACTCAGGCCATCAGACTTGGTAGCAAGCACCTTTACCTGCTGAGCCATCTCTTTGGTCCTATAAGACTGTTTTAAAGCCAGATACAGTGGTAGGAAAATACACTATGGCAAAATGTAATGTGGAGAAGTCCTAAAAGGAAATGACTGAAAAATACTGAAAGGGTATGATCAAGGGCTAAGCCTGCGGGGCCCCTAGAACTCCTCCCATGTTCTCACCTTTAGAACTTAGTGTTTCAAATATCACATGCAACACACACACACACACACACACACACACATACACACACACACACACACACAGTCACATATGCTTGTGTATCTTAAGAGTCTGAATCTTAACCTTTTCAAGTGACCAATGAATATTCATTTCATTGAAAAGAAAGAAGATTCTTTTTCTTTTTTTGAGACAAGGCTATCTTAGAATTTATTATGTAGACCAGGCTGGCCTTAAACTCAGAGATCCACTTGCCTCTGCCTCTTGAATGCTTGGACTAAAGGCGTGCATCTCCACATCCAACCAAATGAAACCTTTTTTTTTTTTTTTTTTTTAATAATTTTGAATTGCTTTCCGTTTTGACGAAGGAAGTCTGAATAATGAATTGGGCTCTGCACATGTTGTAACCTGAGAAACATTTTTATTCCTAGATGCCAAACTTGCCAGTAGGGAGAAAGGAAAGTTTTGCTTCAAGGCAGTAAGATGTAAACAAAAAGAAGGTAAATTTGTTTTACTTTTGACACTTTCTTAAATGTCTGTTTTATATCTTACAGCAGTGGCCTAATTAGTTTGTTTTCCTGTGGGTTTTTTTTTTTTTAGCTGCTATACAGTCCTCCGAAAAATACACTTTTGCAGATATCATCTTTGGAAATGAACAGGTATGCAAAGATGCACATTAGTATTTGACGTAAAAATCGTAGTTTTGGCTTATCTCTCTGTTCTGAAAAAACTGTAGCGTCACTAATAATTATCTTTGAATAGTGAGCATATGAACTTCATTGAGTTTTACAACCCACCTTTAATCCAAGCATGCCATATGGACTGTACCACTTCAGTTACGTAAAACTAACTTCTGAAAATATCCAGTGAAGGAAGCATAGTGCTTGGGAGTTTAGAAAAGCCAGAATTACTTGAGGAAACTTTTCTGTTTAGCAAAAGTGGCCAAAGTACAGCCACAGTTTTCTAACTAGAACCTCTGTTTCTAAGTCTGCTTAAATTTCTTTTCTCATGTTGTCATCTTCAAATTTGGGCATATTATATGGTTCCAAGACCTGGAAACTTTGGGTACATAGGCTGTCTTGGAATTGGAAAGATTTTTGTAACATTTGATCATAATATGCATTAATCACCTGGAGCAAGCTTTTCAAATGTTAAGAAGTATGCGGTTGGGATCTTGTTAAGGTACAGTTGCAGTTTGTCAGGACTGTGGTGGAAACTGAGGTTCTATGTGGTTGTCAGTTTCTAGGTAATGCTATAGACCTTAGTAGTGGCTCAATCTTTAGACCTTAGTTTTGAGTGTCCAGGTGTAGAGAATTTTGTTAGGATAAAGGCTTTTCTTCCCCACTTCTGAAGTTCCATTGTGATCTACAATAGAGTTTGGGAATATGATTTTTAAATTTTTTTTTTGAAGACAGGGTATCATGTAAGTCCAGCCTGGCCTCGTAACTCCTTATATAGTCAAGGATGACCTTGAACTTCTCTTCTTCCTGTCTCTACCTCCTGAGTTCTGGGATTACAGGTTTATGTCACCATACATGGTAGGATTGAAGGCCTATGGGACCATGTGTGGTGGGATTGCAGGCCTATGGGACCATGTCTGGTGGGATTGCAGGCCTATGGGACTATGACTGGTAGGATTGCAGGCCTATGGGACTATGACTGGTAGGATTGCAGGCCTATGGGACCATGTCTAGTGGGATTACAGGCTTATAGCACCGTGTCACCATTTCTGACCTTCCGTGTGGAGCTGGAGGTTGAACACAGAGATTTGTAAATGCTAAACCCTCAATCTATCAACTGAGCTATGTCCCTAGCCTGGAACATGCTTTAACATTTTGTTTTAATTAATTAATTTTGTGTGTGCTCACATACATGTGCTTGTGTGTGCCATGGTGGATGTGTAGAGGTCCGAGAGGACCACTTTCTGGAGTCAGTTCTCTTTTCCCTGCTTGAGAGAGGGTTTCCCCATGTCTCTTCTGCAGTGCTCTTTATGTTCCCAGGCTAGCTGGCCTTCAAGTTTTGGGCTGCTTCTCCTTTGTAAGCACCTTCACTTTACCATAAGGATGCTGGAATTAAGATGTGGGCTCTAGGCATCCACTTGAGGTTACCAAGTTTGTGTGACAAGTACTTTTGCCTGTTGAACCATCTCCCTGCCTTGTGCATTTTTAACAAGCTCTGCTGTAACCTGGGAGGTCATCTAGGGAGCCACCCTCTCATCCTGTATAATTGTTCTGTTAATGAAATGACTTCTTCATGTTCCTTAACAATTCCAGACATCTCTAAAGTATTGCATTTCTCTGATCAGGAGTTTTACATTACTCACTGCTGTGACAATATTTGAGGAAGCAGCTGTTGAAGGAATATCTCAAAGCTACGAAGCTCCAATAATTACAAAGCATGTGTGATTTTAAATGTTAGAGTTAGCAGTATTTTAGGTATTCACTTGTATGTTTTCATCATTTCTTTTTCTTTGTTGTCTTTTTGTTTGTTTATTGTGATGCTGATGATCCTAGGGGCTTAAACCTAGGATCTTCCATATGCTAGGCAAGCACTCTACCACTAAGCTATAATCCAGTCCTCTTTTACTTTGTACTTTGAGAAGGGTCTCACTAGTTGCCTCTACTGGAATTACAAGCCTAAGCCACCAAACCTGGTGGATGAGTTTTTAATTTTATTTTAAAATAATTAATTTGGGGCTGGAGAGATGGCTCAGCAGCTAAGAGCACTGACTGCTCTTCCAGAGGTCCTGAGTTCAATTCCCAACAACCACATGGTGGCTCACAGCCATCTGTAGCAAAATCTGTCTGGCACCCTCTTCAGAATTAAAAAAATAAATAAATAAATTCCTAAAGGCTTCAGTAGAACCCTTAAACTATATTAAAACTGCAATTTTTGTTGTATTTGTTGTTAAAAAATATTGCACATAAGTACCAAAGAAGGCAGAAACAAAGCTCCTGTTTTGAAGTATCTGGTTGAATAAGACCAAGTACTACAGATTAAGGAGAAAATTATGGGGATGATATTTTATCAGAAAAAGTTCATCAGAAGAGAAAAAAATAGGATGTAGTTGGAAGTTTTCCTATGTCCTGCCCGGCACAGATCTCTCCCACTCACATCCCCCAAGTAAACACACAGAGGCTTATATTAATTAAAACTGCTTGGCCATTTGCTCAGGCTTATTACTGACTAGCTCTTACACTTAAATTAACCCATAATTCTTATGTATGTTTAACCACATGGCTTGGTACCTTTTCTCAGTTCTGCCTTGTCATCTTGCTTTCTCTGTGTCTGGCTGGCGACTTCTGACTCAGCCTTCCTCTTCCCAGAATTCTCCTTGTCTGCTTATCCCGCCTGTTCTTTCCTGGCTACTGACCAGTCAGCATTTTATTTATCAACCAGATCAGAGCAACACATATTCACAGCGTACAGAATGACATCACCCATCAATAGGTTTTTTTTTTGGTTTGTTTGTTTGTTTTTTAAGTGGCTGGAGTGGGTACTGGGAACTGACCTCTTGTATTTTGGGTTGTGAGCCTACCCTTTAACAGCTGGGTCAGTTCTCCAGCCCAGCACGTATTTATTAACATTTAATATTTTCTTTGTATTGTGAAGCTTTACATATAAATGATCTTTGCATTGTAATCCATAAAACTGTAAATGTAGAGGTTTTACTGTGAGAGAGTATTCTGTGTTAGGGGAAATCCTATAAATTGAATCTTTTCTTACATTGTTTCTTTCAGGTAAATACAAAGGGCCATTTAATACCAGTGATTATCAATGTTATTTCATTAGATGCTGCCTGTATAGTTTCTTTTTAATTCAGCCAGACACCTCAAAAAGTACTCTTTTACAAAATTATTTAACAACAACCACAATGAAAATGAGTTTTAGTTCAAGGATCTGACTGATGTTTCTAGGGAGTTAAATGGATGAGAAGCACTTTTGTTTTATAGAATTGTAGTTTTTCTTCATCCTCCTGGACACTTGGAAAATCATGGCAATATAGATTACATTGGTATAACACCTTTTAAGGTTATAAACAATTTGCACTAAATCTTTTAAGTATTCAAATGGCCTTCACATATTTAGCTGCACAGACAAGAAATTGAGTGAACTTTGGGATATATGTAAGTTACAGAATTGTAAATTTTGGCAGAGTATATTTAAATGAGTAAGTTTTGACAGGGCATTTAATTAAAACATTTATGTAGACAAGTGATTTTTCTTTCCACAGATAATAAGTTCAGCAAGTCCATGTGCAGATTTCTTTTACCGAAGTTTATCCTCAGAGTTGAAGAAACCACAAGACCCGCTTTCTGCACATCCAGAGAAACCTGTAGACGATGCTGTGCGGCTGATTCAGAAGTGCAGTGAGGTGGACCTGAACATTGTCGTGTTATGGAAGGTAGTGCATTACATGCTGTCAGCAAGCCTCACTTAGAGACCTTTACGTTTTGTTTGTTTTGCATTTTGCGATAGGGTCTTTCTGTGTAGCCAGGTAGGCCTCAGACTCTACTCCTGCTTTAGCTCCAGGGATGCTGGAAATACAGGTGTGTACCATCACACCCAGCCTGGATGTTTGCCCACCCGCCTGCCTTCCTTCCTTTCCTTTTTTGTTGTTATTGTTACTGGGTTTTTTTGTTTGTTTGTTTGTTTGTTTTCTGTTTCATTTTGTTTTTTGAGACAGAGTCTCATTTTATAGCCCTGCTAGCTTAGAACTTGTTTTATATATATAGACCAGTCTGGACTTGAACTTATAAAGCTCCATCTTTGCTGGGATTGGACCTGTGTGCCACTATATTCAGCTCTAAATATTTTATTTTCAAATTGGAGAATAACTGTATACTCACATTTTTCTGATTAAAATTTTCACTTTCAATATTGAAATTATTTTATAACTTTTAGCCATTCTATCATAATGACTTTTTGAATGTTTTTGTCTAAAGGAGTTCAATAAAAGCAGATAGCTTTCTTCTGTGAGACACTGTTGTTTCTCTGTGTCACAAAGAGTATTGTGGTCATGCAGGTCAGTGAGAGCAGGTTCCATGAAACTGTCATGAGCACCTCCAGACACTGTTGTCTGGGCGCTCAGTTCCCGGCTCCGCGGCATTGGACTTGGTGCTGTTGGTGTTCCTCTCTTTGTGTGCCTTTCCTCCCTTTCTTATTTTTACCTTTATTTATTTATTTATTTATTTATTTATTTATTTATTTATTGCTAATGCAAGTAGTTTACATTTTGAAACCGTGCTGACTTTGCATGAACTTCAAATGAAACACTGCTTACATAAATTTTATATTTTTAAACATATAAAAAATGCATAGATTTGTGTTAAAATGACTATTATGTATTGTTATGTATTAGCTTGAAATTATAGGCTCTTATATTGATGCATTTAAGGTAAGATTTTGAGTAATATGTGCTATAATCTGTACTTAGTTGTCAAATCCACAATGATCTTGGTTGGGGAGAAAATTTTACTTTTTAAAAAATGGCCTGCTAATCATATGTAAAAGAAAACTTAAGGTGTAATCCTTGATAGAAAATAGAGATTAAATGTATTAAAGAATATGATACAAAGTTTAGTAGCAGTAAATACCTGGAGCTGCATTTATATTGAGTTGAGAAAATGTCTGTAAATTAAAGAGAATTAAAAAATACTTTTTCCCTCCATTTTTGGTTTTTATTTTTCTGACAGGATCTCATATAATCAAGGTTGGCCTTGAACTTCTTATCCTTCCAGTACCTCCCAAGTGCTGGGATTACAGGTGTGTGTTACCACACCAGCTAGCTACTGAACACTTGTAAAGTCATCTTAATTGTGGGATATCATGCACAGGAAGGGGAGGATTTGTGAATCAAAGCTATTCAGGACCAAACTCATATCTTGGGTGTCAAATTGTTTTGCTTTGAGGCAGGATCTCCTATGTAGCTCAGGTTGGCCTGGAAATGTCTACGTAAAAGATGTCTGACATTGTCTCAAGACTTCATCATTGAGTTCCTATAAAGGCTCAACAAGCAGCTGTTCAGCTCCTTACTTCTGGGTTCTGAGCTGAGCAGGCTGTGGGTTATCTTGTGCCTTAGGACAGCCGTACTTAAAAGTGTGACCCCCGAATTACAAGCTGTCACCAGTCAGTGAGTACAGAAATTGAAAGGAGTCAAACATTGAGACTCTTGCAGCATTCTGAGGGAGTCTCTTGAATCAAATGAAAATTTGGCTTATTAAAAACAAGTAATTCGCCGGGCAGTGGTGGCGCACGCCTTTAATCCCAGCCCTCGGGAGGCAGAGGCAGGCGGATCTCTGTGAGTTCAAGGCCATCCTGGTCTACAGAGTGAGTTCCAGGACAGCCAGGGCTACACAGAGAAGCCCTGTCTTGCAAAACCAAAAAACCAACCAAATAAACAAAAACACAACTAAGTCAGGGCTGAAGAGATGGGTCAGGAGTTAACAGCATTGGGCTGCTCTTCCAGAGGACCCACATGGTGGCTCACAAACCCCGTCCCAGGGCATCCAACATTCTTTTCTGGCTTACTCAGGTACCAGGCATGCACACAGTGCATAGACCTACATGCTACCATGATGCACATAAAATAAATAAAATTAAAAACAAAACTCCAAATAAGTCTTGTATATTTGTATAATGTGACAGTACAGTAAATTAGAGCCATTGACAGATACTTCTCTAGAACAGAGTCAAATTCAAAAGGGAGAAAAAAATATAAATTGGGACAAATATCTTAAAATAGATGAATTCAGCTTGCTATTTACCAGTAGAAAAAAAGCCTTTTTAAAAACGTATGTAGCTAGATGTGGTGCCATGTGCCTATAATTCTAGTATTCAGAAGGCTTAAGTTTGATTCCAGCCTGAGCTACATATCATATTCCACTCCAGCCTGTGATATCCAGTGAGACACTATCTAGGAAAAAATAACCAAAACCAAAAGAAATTGTGTGGATTCAAGTGGATATGCTGGTACACACCAGTAATGCTAACACTCATGGTGCTCAGACAGAATCACAGGTTTGAGGCCATCCTGGACTTCATGGTCTGACAAGGCATGGCGTTTTCACCCTCAGGATTCACAGTTTAGTCATCTGCGTTTTGACAGTCGAGTGAAGAAGCTTGTATGTTACTTGTTGGTTTTTAACCGAGATCCCCTAAGAAAGCAGTCTTTCTGGGACCTGTGGAGAGGACTCGGGGTAAAGTGCCTGCTGTGCAAGTGTGAGGCCCTGAGTTCAGATCCCCAGCACTCAGGGAAAGCCAGGCATTGGCCTGTGTCTGTAACCCCAGTGCTGAACAGAGAAGGGTCCCCGGAGTTCCCTGGGAGCAAGCCTGTCAGGGAGCTAGCTCTGGGTTCAGTGAGAGAGCTGGCTGAGGAGTCCAGCATATGTTGAGTTCTGACTTTCACAGGCACCCACCTGCATGTGC